AACTTTCAAAATCATCCATCTTTTGTACTGTTGGGCCTTCTACTGTAAGCAGATTTCATCTAAGTCTCCTGGTCAGTCTTCCTCTTTTATGCTTTTCACAGTGAGTTGAATATTTTTTTTACAAATATTAAGTAACAATGTTTTCTATTAAAGGTATAAACATTTTCAAGAACCTATACAACATATGGAAGGATCACAAAGTGCTTTTTCCTAAAGGTGACATCAATTTCCATAGAAACAAGATTTCAACATCATGATAGCTGACGGGCAGATGACCTATAGACTTCAGGGACTGGATCACAGATTCTGTGTCATCGGGGAAGTTTTCAGTTGCAGTGAGTAACAGACCTGAGAGTGGCTTAAAAAATAAAGGAAATTTATTGGTTCACCCAATGGGAAACTACAGAGGTACATGTAGCTAGGGGTCGGAACTGATCTAGAATCTCCTGTAACATGACTTAAGACCTAGTTTCTTTTCTTTCAATTTTTATTGTCCTCTCTTTGGTGTTGGCTCCATTTTGGACAAACTTCCTTTCCCCAACTCATGATCTTAAATTGGCTTTGAGGAGGGCTGTGAATTACACAAATCCTAATTTGTGAAACAGCAGAGAGAGAATCTTTGTCACTATACACAGAAAAAAAAAAAATAGCTTTTAAGAGTGACTGGACCAGTTTAGGTAATTATGTCAATTCCAAACATTCATTATGAACAGAGATTGCACATTCAGATTGGCTCTGCTAATCAGGGCCATCTTCTGGGGCAGGTGAGGCCAATTCCGTCTAAATCTCAAAGGTGAGAACGGAGGGAGTGGGGAGGTTCTGACAAGAAATTCCAGCTACTAGTCTCAGAAGGAAGAAAAACAGATGCCAAGCAGCCAATAAGAGGTATTCATGACAGGTACTTTCACAGTCTGTTTCTTATTCACTCATTTGAAAAGAAATGCAAGACTCAACCCAAAGTAACCCAAAACCTCACATATTTTCTGCATGTTAAATAACACATTTTTACAAAAGACAAAGGTTAAATAAATCATTTCACAGTATTTTATTTCTGTAAGCAATTTTATAATCACCAAAGAGGCCTTGCTATTGAAGGGGTAATTATACTCTACCTGGAGGATTTTACATTCGGTAATGTGTCCACATTCAAATGACAAACCTTGCTCTGGTGCCTCATGAACTCGAACATATTTTTTAGTCGGTACCCTTTTTCTAGTATGGTGTTTAAAAAACATGACTTTATAAAATTGCCATATTACAAAAGCACATAAGGAAACATAACCTTTTCACAAGGCATGGCACCCAACACAATCTTGGGTTCACATTCTACCATATGTTCGTTCTCTGATGCAGAGCTCCGACAAGTTTTGTTTTGGCCCGTATCTTAATCTTCAAGCATTCTTACAATCATGTTCTGGCTTTCCCTTGGCCAACCTCCCCCCACCTGCACCCCTTCCTAGACTCCCAGCACTTTCTTTCAAGCTAAAGTTCTCTACCTTTCCTTTATCTGCTGAAATCCAAGAGCGAGCCTAGAGTGAAATGGATACTTGCAATTTGCCCCACCCTGATTAGCTGCTTGCAATCTGTCTTCAGCCTCTACAATTTGAATCTGCTGAAAGTTATCAGTGACACTCATCTTTAACCTACTAGAATATTTATGCCGTTGATAACCCCTTCCCTCAGAGTTTGCTCCTCTTATCTGATTGGTCTTCTTCTGTCACACCTAAGATGTAGCCGGGTCTCTCTGTTCTGAGACTCACTTCTCTTTTATCCATCACATAAAACCCAAACACATTTAGTGAGACTCTGAAAGTTCTCATGTTCTGGTCCCAATCTTTCAGCTGTCTCTTCCATTTGTTCCTTTTATTACCACATTGACAACACACTGCTCAAGAGAGGTCACCTATGCTTTCTTTTTTCCCCTGTGGTTCCCTTTGAAATCTCTACCTTCAAGGCCAAGCTTCAAGTTTGCCCTTCCATGAAGACTGCTCTAGTCTTCCCCCCCCACAAGCTATAAACTACCTCCAACTCCCATCAACCAGGTCCACGCTACCCACCAGGTCTTGACTAGGTATTTGTGAAAGCTTCCTAACTAGTTAGTTAGTAACCCTGTTTCTTGTCTGTCTAATCGTTTCTTTAAAAAAAATTTTTTTAATGTTTATTTTTGAGAGAGAGAGAGCGCGAGAGCCAGCGGGGGAGGGGCAGAGAGAGAGAGAGAGAGAGAGAGAGAGAGAGAGAGAGACACAGAATCTGAAGCAGGATCTGAGCTGTCAGCACAGAGCCTGACGTGGGGCTCGAACCCATGAGCTGTGAGATCATGACCTGAGCTGAAGTCGGACGCTCAACCGACTGAGCCACCCAGGTGCCCTTCCTAATTGTTTCTTCATACAATCACTAGAATGATCTCCCCACAATCTAAACCCCTGACCATGGGCTAGAAGATCTGGCCCATGCTAATGTTTTTTGGCCCAGGGACACTGCTAAACACTTTACATGGATTAATCCATTTAATCTGATCAATAATCCTATGAGCTACATACTTTTAATAGCCTCATTTGTAGATGCTGTTGACCCACCAAATTCCTTTTACAGGGTTGGTGCACCCATATCCCAGCTGTTAACAGCTGTCCCCTCCCCTTCACCTTATTTTGGAGGATTGCTCTCAACTGAGGAAAGGGACCTAGCCTCCCCTCTTCTGCCTGATGTAAGAACATAATAGCCCAAGCTCTCACCTCAGGGCAGGACAACCTCTGTAGTCCAACACATAGTGCATTGTCCCATAGGGTCAGGGTGATGATAAACTTCTTCCTCATCTTCTAGAGTCTCTTAAGAGCACTCCCTCAATAAATCACTAGCCCAAGCATCCTCATATCCTCCTTATCCACAAAGGAACAAATCAAATCACCATTTTACATATAAGAAAACTTGAGACAGAGAGGTGAACTATTGGCCTGAGGCCAAACAGCAAAGGGGAAAGCTGAAATTTGAAGCCAATCCTGCATTTCTTTTCCACCACACAGTATGGGCCACCGTAACCTCACTCCTTCCCTCTAGCCAAATTAATTCCTGCCTCAGGGCCTTTGTATTTCCTATTTGCTCTGCCTAGAAGACTGTGTTTCCTCTATCCCATAGTGGTTTGCTTTCCTCACTTCTTTCAAAATGTTTCAAACACTACCCTTCAAAAGAGATCTTTCCTTACTCTAACCATCCTAAGATAGCAACACTATTCCCAACTGTTTTAGTTCTATTTATAGCATTTAATATCTGAAACTGTACTATGCATATATTTGTTTTCTGTCACTCACACTAAAATGAAAATTCCCTGAGGGCAGGAATGTTGTCTGGGTTATTCCCTGCTGTGTCTTCAGTGCTTGGTAACATACCTGGCACAGAGCAAGAACTCAGTTATGATTTGTTGTTGAATGAGTTCTCTTTTCTCAGAACCCTTAGAGGGCCTTGTAGAAATCTTCTTACCCGTTCATCTAGGGTTGGAGTTATTTAACACTTATTTATTTATTTATTCTGCAAACTTATATGCTCTTAGAAGACAGAAATTATGTTTTATTAATTTGGGGGTACACAAGAAGGATTCAAATAATGGCACTACCTCTAAAATTCCAAACAGCAACTGCAGCCAGTATTTTGTATAGGGACTAACGTCAGGAATTCAGATGAATTATAGTAGTAAACCCAGAAGGATGAAAAATACATCACATTTAATTTATAAAGTATTTCTGTGCATGTTACAAGAGATTATAGTAAATACAATTACTTACTGTTCCACATTTTTAGAACAATGCCATTTCAAAATATAAAAAATAGACCTATCTTCAAAGAACCATTTAAATATGGCTTTGAAAACCACAATGTTTTATTTACAACTAGATGGAAGTGCAACAGCATTCATAGAAGTTTATGATAAATAAAAATATTATTCTGGCATCCTTTGGGGACAGGCTTCTATAGATATTTATAATGACTCATAAAAGTTAAATCAATAATGGCCATTAGTGTAATCTGTATTTAAACCTGAATATGAGCAACTAATCTAGACTAATCGTTTATTTGGGATCTGGACCCATACATCTCATAGTTGAAATAAGAAGTTAAAGTTTCCCATTTCCACACAGTTTCTCAACATACAGATCCCAATCATTCCAGTATGTGTGTGAGGTGATCTATTAGTGATTTATAGCCAATTAGTGACTTATAGCCAAATATTCTAAATAAGGGCAGACACAGCTGCATCTGAGTTCAGATTTTGTTAAGTTTAAGAAACACCAAGTACCAATGTCAAAAAATATAATAACTGGATCCACAATTACATTTTAAACTATGGAAGAGCCCCCAGGGAAAAAATTAATGACAGAATGACAACAAATATATTTCTTAAATGAAGAGAAGTATATACGTCTCAAATTTCCCTAGTTAGCACATTCCAACTGAATTTAAACTAACGCACATTTACGGTGGTGGTGTTTTTTTTTTACCTCACCAAAATTTCTCAATTCAAAAATGGTCTGGATTTAAGCAACAATTTTTCCAGCAAATCCTTAATTAAAGTTTAATTTACTCTTGAAACAACGACAATTCTTTTCAGAAGCCATTTTCTTGCTATTGCACACAGATTGATTTTAAAGCCGATCCAGGCAAATGAGTTCACAAAAAGAAGCACATTCATCTAATCCATTTAACAAATGCTGTGATCAGCTTCTACTTGAACACTAAAATAGAGAAATTTGTGAAATTCTCCACTTGACGTCAGTTTTACTGTCATGTTGATGGGAGCCATTTCTGGCAGAGGTAGCCAAGTCCCAAACATATGGGGAAGGCAAAGAGCAAAACAACATTGCAAAGTCTTAGCAGTTCTTTGACTTCTAATGATTATACACCAATTTCCATTATGAACCATGTTGCTGTGCAGCATTCTTCTGAGGTTTATACCTCAAACACAAAGGAGCAACTGCTGCGTTAAGCAGACGAATTGAGATGATCTTCTTCTAGCTTACTTTTTTTTCCTCTCTGAGGTCAAGTAGAAAATGTGAGACATTTTCATATACCACAAAAGTAATACAGCAGGCTGGGGTCACTCTAATCAAATTGGGGGCAATTCCTTTGTAAAATCCACCGATGCCTTCTTTCCTTTAAAAGGAAACATAGATAAATGCTTAATTTCCTACATAGCTGGCCTGAAGACACAAACGCTTAATTGACATATGGCATGGAACCAGCAGTCAAACCTCCCTGTGACTGTAGTCCATGTTTTCAACATCCTGAAGCAAGGTAGTTTATGAGCCATTTTACATTCCTTCCGTGGACTGACTCGGGAAGAGAGGGTAGGGACACTTCAAAACTGAGAAGTGCTTTAATGATAATCTTTCAAATGTCTCTAAATGTATAAACATGCAAGAGTATTAACTGATCTAATATAGGCATTAACAATCTTACAGCTTATATAAATGGCAGACAACACTAAATATAGCACCCACAAAATAAAACTTTATTTCCTTAATGCCTAGAGTAGGAACTTGTCACTTGGGTTCTCGATAAATATTCAGTGAACTAAATTTAAACATTCTAAATATTCTGCTCTGGCCTTTTAAAGAGAAACATGGGGATATCTACCTATAAACGTTTATCTACATGCTGAAGAACAAGAACCTCCTTAATACACAGAGACAAGTATTTGCAAGTTATTGTGCAAGTAGCAGCTTAATTGCATTAAACTACATTTTTTTATGACTTCCTATATTCATTCAATGCCATTCAAGTATTTTATAACCACTAAATTTTATTAATTTGTCGCACAGATCTCATTTGATTTTTATAGCAACCCTGTCAGCCTAGATATTCTAAATTTACAAATGAAGAAATCAAGCCTCAGAGAGATTAAGTCTGTCTTTCTATATGTAGTAAATGGGAAATGGAAAAGCAGGGGCCAGCAGCCGTGTTTTCACCACAGCACGCTGGCCTTTACTATAAAACTAACAGCAACAAGAGATTCTGAGATATGCAAGGTACCTCCTAAAAGCCATTCTGATATACCGCATGCTCTCACCTCCATGTCTTTGTGATTACATCCAACACGCCCTTGTAAAACATATGTTGATCCTGAAGACGAGCTCTCACAACTTGATATGGGTATGTTGCCGCCACGGCAAATATTTTCGATAGTGCTGCAACAGATATATATTCTACTGTGCTCTAAAATGACAACACAAAACATGTGTTTTTCCTTAAAACAGGATTTCTTTAAAAATACAGAAATAAAAATTATATAGGAAAACACGTAAATGGATCTTTAAGTGAAAAATATGGTTTCCCCCTCAACACAAGCTCTGTGCAAATAAGGGGTTTTATTATTAATATTTGTGTGTCATTTGCCCATAAAATATTTAACTATAAATTAAATTAGTGGTAGTCATCATCATAGCAACATTACCAAAGTAAACGTGATAAAATTGCATCTATTAAATGCCTACAAAAGTAAATGATATCTTTTTTTTTTTAATTTTTTTTTAACGTTTTTCATTTTTGAGAGAGAGAGAGAGAGAGAGAGAGCATTAGCGAGGGAAGGGCAGAGAGAGACAGAGACACAGAATCCAAAGCAGGTTCCGGGCTCTGAGCTGTCAGCACAGAGCCTGACGTGGGGCTCAAACTCACAAACCATGAGATCACGATCTGAACTGAAGTCAGATGATTAACCGACTGAGCCACCCAGACGCCCCAATGATATCCTTTTTTTTAAAGAACCATCTTACCAACTGGGCTTCTGGTAATCTATTGATATGCTGGTTGTATTTCAACTTCAACAATTCATATGCCATAAATTGAAGGGCACCATGTGATGTTCCAAACAGCCCAGGAATAAATCCCTAAAGGGAATGATGAAGGAGTATGAGGCAAGCTGAGGGCAAAGCACAAGTTAGTACCCATCCCCCCATCCCCCGTTCCAGGTGGGACATGTGTGATATTCCTTGGACACTCCAGGCTTCCCAAAAACAAGAAAGGACAAACAACAAATGGTTAAACTGGTAAGAATCTCCACCAGTTTACCAGAAAAAGGCAATCCCATCAAAGGCCTAAAGTCCAAGAATCCCTACTGTCTTAATGTTAATGCCTTGCTGGAGGGAAATATAACCTTAGCTAGACAAGTCTTCAACATGTGAAAGTCTCTTTGGAAACTCCCTCTTGACTTTATCTCCCTGAACTCCATAAAATGGTCACCCCCCACAACCCCAATGCAGCTCTTCCTGCCCATGGGTCCTGTCCCCACACTTTAGTAAAATCACCTTTTTGCACCAAAGACTTCTTGAAGAATTCTTTCTTGGCCATCAGCTCCGGACCCCATGAACCCCCCCATCACTCCAAGACTTCATCAGGGAACAATAAACACACACACACACACACACACACACACACACACACACACACACACACCAACTAAGCACCAAGCAAGTTCCCAAGGGACCACAGTTTCTAGGGAGGGTAGTAAGGAATGAGTGACTGTGATGTGTGACTTAGTGAATGGTTACTGTCCAAATTTTAGACAGGCCTTCTCGCACCCACCAGGGTCATGATGACATACCTTACGGTAAGGAGGATAAACAGATGAAAGTACAATTTCCATATTATATAAACCAGAATTTCAGTTTTCATTCAACTGCTTCTTGCCTGAGTCTGGTCCCTTTTCGGGACTGACTACAGGTTTTTCAGAACTCAGACAATAGAGCCAAGGGAAGCTACAGTGTTCGGTTATCCAAAATATATTGATAAGTCATTACCTTATACAATCCTCGCACACCTTCATACTTATATATTTTCAGAAGTGTATCAAACATTCCTTTATATTGTCGTTGTGAGGAGTTAACAACACCATTGTACTGTAACATAAGGCGAGTTTTTGTTACCCATAATGGGTTTGTAATGCAGAGGGTCATGGCTCCTAAAACCAAATTTAAATAAGATTACTCAGCATACAGGTACTTTGCCACTTGTGACAATCCAGATTAATGACAGTCCAGTAATATAAACAATGGGGTTGCCCAGGGGCTGTACCTACAACAGTGAGATCAAGTCTCTGAGGCACAGTCTTAGGGTTAAAGCGTAGCCATAGTTTTGGTGGTCAGAAAAAGTTCCTCAGTTAGTGGGAAGTAGATTAAAAGGGAGCTGGAAATGTGAAATGCTTTCCTTTTGAGGTGTTGAGGACAGCAGAGACATCCTGGCTCTTAACCAATACAGCCTGGAGTAGAGAAACAATGAAAGTCCTGGGAAGCAGACTCTGACAGCAGATATAAACATTTAGGAGAAGGATATGGTATGACCCAGATGGGCTGATGATCAGGGGAAAAGGACCAGGAATCCAACACCTCAATAATCTCTGCATGTGCACGCATATCCACCCCAACTTTCCCACAGCCCTCCTCAAATCCATTCAAAGTAGCTACGCATCTCAAAAATTAAAGAACTATAAAATAAATTTTACATTCTTTACAGAAAGTGACAATTTTGTAGATGTTAAGTTTTCCATTTGCTGAGTTTCCTCAATAGTCCGTTATTCATCAAACATTTATTAAGTCCCATGGTAATTCAGGTCTGTGCTAGCAGCTAGGTATTCAAAATGAGATTTTTTTCGGACGAGAGCTATCAGTAAATAAGGTGTCAAAGTATGAGTTATAAAGACATGAGTCCTACTTTGCTTCTCTCTTTGAAATATTACACATCCATGAGGCAGTTAAACAAGGGTACTAAACTAATTTAAAAACTGAAATTATACTTTAACTGAAGAAAATATACCAAATTATCTTAAACTATCAGGAAGTCGTAACTTTTCTAAATTTTACTTCCTTTGTGATAACTAAAATTCTTGCAATCTGTCCAGAGTAACCAATAAGAACAGTTGCTTTCTAAGATATTCCATGTGATAACTGATTAGATAGATAAGCATAATTAAACTCTACCATTCAAAGGGGGGAAAAGGCAAATAAAACAAAAACCAAAAGTGAAAATCAAGTTAGAAGTTAATGTTTTAGGGGCACCTGGGTGGCTCAGTTGGTTAAGAGTCTGACTTTGGCTCAGGTCATGATCTTGCAGTTTGTGGGTGTGAGCCCCACAACGGGCTCTGTACTGACAGCTCGGAGAGTGGAGCCTGCTTCAGATTCTGTGTCTCCCTCTCTCTCTGCCTGTCCTCTGCATGCACTCTCTCTCTCAAAAATAAAAAAGTTGATGTTTTATATTTCACACACTGCCTTACCAGCTTCAGCAGCCGAGACGAGGTATTCTGTTGCCTCTAAACGATCAGCTCTTCCTTCTGTCTTGTATGATTTGATGGCATTGTAACTAAAAGAATTAAACATGAGCAGTTTGATAAATATTTGAATAGGTATCACAAAGCAGTAAAGTCTGTTTGAAATGTGTGTAATTTAACAGCAGTACCCCAAAAGTAAACGTCCATGCCCAAGGCAAGCACAGTCTCAAGAGTGGATTTGCTGGAAATGGTTTACTGTAAGAGTTTGCCACCCCTTCCTGCAAATGTATATGGGTAGCACTACACAGGCAAAATATTTTCATCACGTACTCATCAATTAAGAAAAACAATAGGAAAACTGGGAGGGGGAAGGCTGTAGCAGTGGTGAGGCAATTGGGCACACAAGACAAAACGATATGTTCAGGGACTATGGAGCAGACTACAAGGACCATAAGCAGAACACAAGTAATCATAATAAAGACAACACAGACGGTGTCATAAGAGATTGAGAAACTACGGCTGAGATCACAGAAGGCTTGTGTGGGAGGTGGCACTGGCCGGGCATGGAGATGGGTAGTTTCAACAGGGAAACAGATGAACATCAGCAAAGGTTATAATAAGGGTGGAGGGAGAAGATGGAAAATTGAATCACACCTGAGTGACACACTGACATTTGGGCTTTACTTGGCAGAAAATCGAGAGGCCACCCAATGTTTCTCAGCAGAGAAGTCGAATCGGCCTATTCTCTCTAGCTCCAATTTCCATTTTCCTCTGGGAAGAAGACTTCAGCTACAAAAAGCCTTCCAAACTCTACCAGTACCATTCTAACATGAAACAAGCATACTTTTATAAGAAATTCTCATTACACACACCTTACGTTCATAGGGCTTGTCCTTAGAAACTCTCACTGGAGAGCCTACACAACTCCAAATTCATAAAAGAAGAAATTTTATATGTATAGTTTCACATCTAGGTTTGTCTTAGAACTGAAAAAAAATACATTTTTTAACCATACGAAGGTTAAATTTTACTTTGCATTCACTTAAAAATATCTTCAGGTTGTGGTTTGCATACTGCCATAAAATTATTGGAGGGAAAGTAGAATATGTAACAAACACAAAAGAGAAAAAGGCCGATAGACCAGGTATTGATGTTCTCTTAAAAATGCCATGTATTAAAACAAAGAAAAGCCTCTCCATTCCTGGATTCAGTTTCAAATTATTAGAGGCATCTGTGGAATGCCCACACTCGGGCACACTCACTAAGCTCAATGGACCTGTCATGGGTGCTTTCAGTGGCTTCTGCAATGGACATGAGGATGGTGAGGAGACCTGACAGGTGAGGGAGGAAGGAAATGATGGAGGAGGGAAGATGATGGTGCAGGTCAAGTTAAGAGGCAAGATGGGATGTGCCTCAAACTCTTTTAGCCAGGCACTGGCTTTTTACTTTCTGTTCCCAAGAGACAGCTCCCTTGGTATGTGTTCTTGGTATGGGGACCCCAAGGCCTGTCCTCCTCGGCTTTCTTACTTCATCAGGAATCCGAAGTATCTTGGTAAGGCATCTTCCTGAACTCAACTCACAGAAGTGGCTTCTGTAGGTAAGAGCATTTCTCCATCTCACCCTTTCACCTTCTTCCTATTAAGAACTTTCTTCCAGACCAAATGCCTCTGATAATAGCTGACAGAGAATGAAATAAACATGGTGCTCTTTCTGACCCTTCCCATTCAAAGAAACTGATTAAAGGACTCATCTTGCTTCATCAACTGAAATGTAAAATCACTAAAAACAAAGTTTCTTTTTAATACTGTAAAATCTCCCAGATCTACTCACAAGAAAAAGTAGAGTCCCCAGGATAAACCTGCACCCCACACATTTGGGGTTACTCCTTGGTAAAGTCCCCGTAGTCCATCAAGTTTCCAAATGGTAGTCAAGCAATGCACAATTCCTTTATATTTTGGTCTCAGTTCCAATCCATCACTCACTGCAGTAAAGGCACAAAATTAGGTGAGAGGAAAGTTCTAGCCCCGAATCACATATAAACATAGACATCACACAGTCATATTAAGGAGGTAAATTCAGAAGAAAACTCTTTTTAACGTTTATTTATTTATTTAGAGAGAGGGGGTGGGAGAGAATCCCAAGCAGGCTCTGCGTTCTCATCGCGAGCCCCATGAGGGGCTCGACCTCCCGAACTGTGAGATCATGACCTAAGACAAAATCAAGAGTCAAATTCAAGACGCATAACCAACTGAGCCACCCAGGCACCCCTGGACTGAACTTCTCTACTGACAGTCACGGCTGCTCTCAAGGTGGCCCTCCCTCAATGACTTTCTCCCTTTGACCTTTGGCTCTTCAGGTGGCAACAGCCCAAGCTCTTTCTAGCTCCAGAATATTGCAGTATTCCCAGTGGTTCTGCTATAATCTCATATCTTTGTAAATAGTCTTTTCAAGCACCCCCCATGCCCCAGAATTATCTTATTTTGAATGTGCCTTCTGTTTCCTACATGGAAATGGAATGAAAGAGAATGTCAAATTTATAATCTAGATAATATTTTTATAAAACTGGTATTTTACTATACATAGTTTTGCATACTGCTTTTTTCTTCACTCAAGAGTATATTGTGAGAGTTCCTGTTATTAAATAGGCCTCCAAAAGATTTTTAAAAATGATATGATGGTTTTCCCTCTCATAGATACCCTATCATTTGGTTAATCATTCCCCTAGTTGACCTGAAAGTTGTTCTCACTTTTTTACTATTAAGAGGTCTCTAGTGAATATGCTGTATAACATTTCATACAAACTGCTATATCCTTAGAATTAACTATTAGAATGGGCATGAATATGGGTCAAAAGTTATACATACATACTGAAACCGCCCTCTAGAAAGCTTATACAAATAACAGTCCTCTAGCCACATAAAAGTATGCTCAGTTCACTGTCCCCTTTGCTGCTACTTCATTGTGCATAATGGAGTCTGGCTGAGAATCACTGTTTGCCATTACCAGGGAAAGGGAGAAAAGCCAATTTCTTTCATCATTAACCTGATAATGTTACACCATGAAATGAGATTAAAGTACATGAAGCTTTGTCAGGAGACCTGGGTTTGAGATCTAACTTCCCTAATTAGCTACACGATTTTAATCTTTCTGAGTTATAGCATCCTCATTAAAAAAAAAAAAAAAAAAAAATGGGGATAAATATCCCCTAACTCACAGGTTGTTGGGAAGTTTATACAAATTTAAAAGCAAGTAACAGAGGGACTAGCTCTCAGGAAATGTTTGGCTGTGTATTTCATAATCTTTCTGATGCTTCCCTTGAATTTCACTTCTTTTAGTCTTACGATAATTTTTTTCCTAAGTACCTTTCCATTTCCTTTAAATAATAAAGTCACAACATAATTTCTCTCTGGAGGTAAAAAACAAAACCATAAAAAAACCATCTTTGCCTTTTCATAGGTATGAACCACTGATTTCTTCATTATTTTGACAAGTCACTTAATTTGTAAGACTTTTTAGTCTCAGTAAAAGGCAACACTATTCTGTACCTTATACTTACCCCGATACTAATCTTATCTACCCTAGTTAGGGACAAATCTTTAAACATGAAAAACATTCATTTGTACGCATATCATTTTATTTAAAAAAAATATTTATTGACTCCTTATATTGCCAGGCAAAGGGGCAATATAAACTTAAGTAGGACACAAATCCTGACCCTGAGGTCAGATACAGTCTTCAAGACAAAACAGAGCAGCAACAGCATGGCAAAGTTATGAGCACTATGGTAAATGAAGTGCTACAGGATTACAGAAGAAACACAAATAAATGTTCTGTACAGAAGGAACCGGGGACATGCAGTCGAGTGACGGGGAAAATGAGAGAGAAGACGTTAGCATAGAGCCTTGAAGATTGATGAGAAACTTGTCTTTGGGGAAAGGAGAGAAAGGTTTATCTCTAGACAAGCGCAAGAGCTGGTGTAAATCCAAGGAAGCACCACAGTGCCTGGCACCGTTCGGGAGAACATTAGGGACTTGGTATAGCTACAGTATACAGCTGGTGGAGAGAAGGGATGGTAGGAAATTTGGCTGGAAAGTAGGGCAAGAACCTGTTACAGTCTGAACTATGTCCCTCCCAATCCACTGAAATCTGATTTGGGTCTCCACCCCACTACTGCAAGTGCCCCAAAGACCCCAAAGAGCACTTTGGGAGTCCTCTCTTTCTCACCAACCATTTAGTAGCACCTACGACTGTCTACCTCCTAAACATACTTTTGTCGGCTACTTTTACGCCACACTCTCCTGATTTTCTTCTCTTTTTTCTCAGGCCACCAAATTTCCTTTGCAGCCCCCTTCCACTGCAACACTTAACATTGTGACCCTGAGTCAGTTACTTGATTCCTCTGTGGCTGAGTTAGCTCATCCACAAAATGGGAAAAATAACAGAACCTAACTCTAAAAATTACAATGGGTTAATAAATATAAAGCCATTAAAATCATGCCTAGCAAACATTCAGGAAGTATTAGTTTAAGCTACTGGGTCTTGCAATACTATATGTACATAGGCAAATCAACTATTTTGATTCATCTTCCTAAATTTTCCTTTTCTATCACCACTTCACACTTTATTATGACAAAGTCCTTTGACTCCTAGATCTTTAATTTTGTCTTCCCATCTAATCTCAATTATTTTACCTGTCAATCTTGGCCACACTGGTCTCCTAAGACTTTCTCCAAAATGGGAAGGTTACCAATCTTTTCAGACACCATGAATCCCCTTTCTTCATGCACAATCTTCTTCACAGCACAATCTTAAACTCACCAAGCCAACACTATTCCTCCACGATCATTTCAACTGTCACCTCTTCTCCTAGACAAAACCCTAGAGACACCGAGTCATACAAGCCTACAGCCATGTCCAAAATTCTTCTCTTCATGTTCAAGCCACTGTCTACTTGGAATTCTTAGAAGTAGAATGGTGAATGGTTAAGAGTCAAAGGGTTCTAGAATTAGACTGCCTGGGCTCAAATCCCACAGCTACCATTATAAACTTGTGACTTCAGCAAGTTAGTCAACTTCTATTATTTTCATTTGTATAATAGGGATAATAAATTCACAGGGTTGTTCAGAGTAGTAAATCAGAGAATTTACTAAAAACTTTAAGTTCATTGCCTTGCTCTTAGTAAACGCTCAATGAATGTTACTTGTTATAATTTTTATTTGTGCACACTTCACAAACTCCATGGAAGTTATATGCCTTTCTGGGTTTTCTTCTAGGGAGTATACTCCATAATTTTCACTGACTCTCCTTCATAGAATGGTTTGTCTTCTTTCCAGCTATCAAATTATCAGTCTTTCTACATGGAACTTCAAGATCTAATGGGACCCATACAGATGGCCATCAGCAATCTATAATTTTCTTGACAGTCTACTCATATTTGGATTTATTCCATTTTGCTCTTGATTTCATGTTGTCTAGAATTATCTTTTATGTGACTGAGACTCAAGCCTATAATTTACACTGTAAGTTCCCTGAGGACAAGAACTTTAAGTACTTTGTATTCCATACAGCGGTCGACAAATATTAAGAGAACAATACGTATTATTGTTCTGACTCTTGAAGATGAACCACTTCTGCAGACCTAATTCTCAAGGCAGAACTTGTAGCAGTAAGAAAACCAAACGTCAGAAAACAGTTTCCCAGGAGTTATCAAGACCTTCTCTGAGACTATCTCCTCCAGAATTTACTGTTGAGTTTAACTTCTAAAGTACTTTGCAAAAACTCAGATTCACTTAACTCAATGCACTTAATTCAAGAAACGTAAATTTAAAACACAGTATTTGGATTTGAGCTAACTATTCCTTCATAGGATCTCGTACACTATAAAACACCAAAAACCTTCAAGAGAATCCTATCCCAAATCTATTCCTAAGCACCTGCTGAAGATTACGCCCTACTCTAAGCAACGGTTCCGCAACTGCCAAACACGTGGCAACCTTAAGATTTCAAAGTACCTCCAAGGGTGAATGATTTGCACGTGTGAGGGCTAAGCCCTAAAACGTGACAATCTTTTTCTTATTTTACAAATCAGGCGTTGAGTCCCGCATCGTACCCAATATGAACTTGTCTCAGGCTTTTCTACCCCTGCTCTCCATCCCTTAGATTCGGGGAGCGGGACGACGGCGGCCCGATCCCTTTCCCACGCTCCCCTTCCTCAAACCTAGTTCCAGGTGAGCCAGAACAGCATTTTCTTTAACGCTCGCCTGGTAGTATGAAGGAGGCAGGGGAGAGCAAGGCTTCCTTTTGCGTTTTTATCACCCAGTTCGGGATGCCAGCAAGGATAAGGAGCCCGGGGTCTGAGTGGCCTCTTACCGGCGAAGCGGATCTTCACGAGGTCGAGCGGGTGCAGCGCGAGGTTGGACAGAACCCCGCCGCTCACGCCCGCTACCAGATTCTCGTACCGGACGTGGCGGAATATCGTGCTCCACACCGACGACCCTGATCCCGACTGGCCCTGACCCGTCATAGTCCCAGGGCTCGCTGATACCACGCCCAGGGCCGCGGAGGTGGGCCGGGATGCAGTGACCGCCACCTTGGCGACGGTCGCCCCTTAGGAGCAGAAACCTCAGGGGGAGGCCAGCCCACTTCCGGGACGGGCGCAAGTACGTGGTAACTAAGCGGAGAGACCCCAACGCAGAGCTAGCGTGAGAGGGGCAGGGCAGCACGTCACGCCAGCGGAGAGAGCGAAGGAGGCGGGGCGCCGTCCTCCGCCAAGTCCCCGCCCCGTCCCCATCCGCTGCCGTTTCTGGCCGAGGGACGCGGACGCTAGAGTACGGCAGAGAAACCGCCTCGGACCAACCTTTGTCAGCAAAACTACGGCGCGCCGCAGGGTGCTGCGGAGGGGGCTGGCTTCCACTGCGTGGAAGTCACGTGACAGGAAGTAGTCTAGAAGAAGCGGAAGTAGCATGTGCCGGAGGAGGCGGGGGTAACCCAAACTTGGAGGAAACGCTCGGAATCGGGCACACCGAGCCGCCAAAATGAAGGTGAAGATGCTGAGCCGGAACCCGGACAACTATGTCCGCGAAACCAAGCTGGACTTACAAAGAGGTGAGACAAGTTAGGGAGTCACCAGCCTTCAGTCTGGACTCGGCTTCCACCGAGTAAAGCTGGGTGAAGACTGACGCTCCAGTCTCTTTCTTTCCCTGTTCCCTTTTGCCAAGGCAAGCTTAGTGCACATAAGGCCGTTGCGGGACTGAGTAGCAGATAATTTCTCCTCAAGGCTCTTCTTGAAGAACTTTTTCTAGTGGTACGTGGGAAAGTTCGTTATGTCTGGAATACTTCCGCCTTCCCCCTTCCAGCGGCTGCTCTCCGATGTTTCTGGCTCCGGTTGTTGAGAAGTGGAACTTGACAGCCAAACTCGTAGATTCAAGGGTTTGATAGGCTTCTTTAAATCTCTTTCGTCAAAATTACATACTTCTAAATGTGGAAGAGACAAAGGTGAAACTTGAAGCCATCAAGTTTTCTTAATGCTTGTGAAGAAGTTTGATGCGTGAATGGCTAAAATGAAATTAATAAGGCTTCTTTATTGATCTTATTTACTGGTCTGTTCCCCCATTAACATTCTGAATTATAGCGGATCGTATCTAAATGACAAGGGACCAACCATGTGTACAGAGAATACCAGGTGCAAAGGCCTTCAGGCGGGAATAAAGGTAAAGCATACGAGAAGGGCCGTGTCATCAGTTTGAGTAAGGGGGATAAACCATAGAAGATGAGGCTGGGACGATACTTTGTTATTTTGATTGAATAGTAGAGATTATCCAACATATATATGAATAATGCTGAGAGGGGAATATGTGGTCTCTTCTCACAAGATGTTTATGGGTTAAGTATCAAGGTAGTAATATTTCTAAAATGCAAATTAGGTTATGTCACCTGGACAAGACATCATCCCTATTCCTTGAACGTCTGGTTCCATCTTCCTTTCACTAGTCACTACTTTTCTTGCAAGTAGCTTACATTTACTCTTGCAGATCTGAGTGCATTTCCGACATTTCTCTTTCAGGCTTCCTGTGGCACACCGCTTTCTCAGTCTACACTAGCTCCTTTCTCTGAACAACAGTCTTTCCGTATTTATCTCCCGTGGTAGCCCCTTCCATTTAAAGCACCCTTCTTCTGTCCTTTTTATCACATATTTTCGTGCTGACATCAGAGTGTGTACATATCACATTGTCTCATGATGATTATTTTGGTTATCTTTTTCATCACACTGAGTTTGCATAGAAGGGAAGAATCCAATTTGTTTCTATACCCACTGTGCCTAGACAGCACCTGGCACATAGTGGTTGCTTTGTAAGTTTATAAATGGAGGAATGAGTAAGTGATTGGCTGGTCATAGACTCTCCACATGAGGAGATTTTTAGTCATCTGATGTTATTAAGGGTTTTACTTTCTATAGTATCTTCTTATTTCTTTATAGTTTCTGATGGAAGTTTTAATAGCAAAATGGAAAAATAGAAGTATTGGAGCTTTGTGATACATAAATCAAGGAAGACGTTTGTTACCTTTTTTTTATTCTTTCATTCTTATTTAGATGTTATTTCCTTGTAAATTTTGACTGAATGTTAGATATAGTACCATTAACAGGGAGTCAGAAAAATGACAAGGTGAAGTTGTGGGGTAAGAAGATGCGTTTACTTTTTTTATTTTTTATTATTTTTTTAATGTTTATTATTGAGAGACAGAGCATGAGCATGGGAGGGGCAGAGAGAGAGGGAGGCACAGAATCTGAAGCAGGCTCCAGGCTCTGAGCTGTCAGTGCAGAGCCCGACGCAGGACTCAAACTCACAAACTCCGAGATCATGACCTGAGCCAAAGCCGGACGCTTAACCCACTGAGCCACCCAGGTGCCCCAAAGATGCACTTACTTTTAAACATTAAGCGTTTTTTAGACATGTGGGCTTAGAATTATTTCCTACGCACAATTATTAACTGAGAACCTGTTTGGCAGCATAGCATAATAGTTAAGAACACCAATTCTGAAATCAGCCTGCTTTGGTTTGAATCCTGGCTTCATCATTTCATAGGCAAGTTACTTCTCTATGCCTCAATTTCCCCAGCAGTAAAATAAGAAATAGTAATAGGACTTAACCCATAGGGTCTGGATATTAAGTGAGTTAATATACAGTATTTGGAATGAAGCCTTGTACATTGTAAACTGTTTTTTAAGTAAACACATGTGGGAAGTGTTCAGTAAATAGTAACTACAATCATAATCATAACACTGTGTGCCTATCAGAGTGATTAGCACGGGAGATGAGTTGTGTTTCCTGCCTCAGAAGGAACATAGAGCTCAGTTGGGCAAACATTTATCATGCATATGTTTTGTGCCAGGCACTGTGCAACACATAAGGAGTAAAGTGAGGAGTGTAGTGGAATCCCTGTCATGAAAGGTTTACAGCGCAGTTAAAGAATGTAGTAAGACTTGTAAAAGGAAAAGCTGAGGGTATCTATAGGGTCTAATTATTCTGCAAGATGTATGCCTTCCATGTTTTTCCCGTAGTTTTTTACTGAAAGGTTTCTGAGTGAAAGGTCATCTATTTTTGTATTTTTCACAGTGCTAGGTATAGAACAGTGTTCCTAACAAAGGCTTATTGGATAGCAAATTGAATGATTACCTGAGGAAGGCCATAGGAAATATTAAAAGTGAACTGTTTTATTAAGAGGAGTCATTTTTATTTCAGTTCCAAGAAATTATGATCCTACCTTACATCCTTTTGAAGTCCCGCGAGAGTATGTAAGAGCTTTAAATGCTACCAAATTGGAACGGGTATTTGCAAAACCATTCCTTGCTTCCCTGGATGGTCACCGAGATGGAGTCAATTGCTTGGCAAAGCACCCAAAGAGCCTGGCTACTGTCCTTTCTGGGGCATGTGATGGAGAGGCAAGTGTCATTTCAAACACTGATATTTTAAATTAAAAATAGTTATGTTACAGATGTTCTTCAGTTTCGTGTTATGGTGGATTTTAATTGGTTTGATTTCATTTTTTTGTCCTATTTTCTGTTAATTCTCAAGAATGAATTGTGTTTGAATTACTCCAGTGGTTTCTCATCTAAACCTCAGAAATTAGAAATGTAGCAGCTGAATGCTCAGTTTGACAGTAAACAATAAAGCATGTTTACAGTAGTAGATGTTTTGTGAGGGTTTTTTTTTTTTTTTCTCACAGAGGATGTTATTAATGATTCAACACTTATTTCCACTTTGGCAAGAAGAGAAAGCTTTGAAACACTTTAAATTAGAATCAACAAGAGTACTTAACAGATTGAATTTTCTGCTTGTTGACATACTTATCCATATGCACTGCAGTATTTTAAACTGGAGGATTTTGTTTTTAGCAGTCTGGTGGAGTGAGTCATAGCTTTTTCAGCGTTGAATTTATTTTTCTTGGAATGTAGTATGCCTCTGCCTGAACATTTTATGTTTATAGTTCACGGAAATTTCCTGGTATGCTCTATCATAGGTTAGAATTTGGAACTTGACTAAACGAAAATGTATCCGTACGATACAAGCCCATGAGGGTTTTGTACGAGGAATATGTACTCGCTTTTGTGGGACTTCTTTCTTTACTGTAAGTATAATGCAATTAAGTCATTAACTCTTTTCAACACGTATAAGACTGATTTAATGTTTTCTGAGTTCCTTTATTCCATGAGGCATTTGAAGTTTCACAACCCAAAATAAATTTTAAAACTTTGAAAAGTCCTCTTTTCTTTATGTACACTCCAGTCTTCTCCAAAGTTTTTGATTTTTTTAATAAATGATTACTTAACATGTTATTTAACTAACATTCCATAGAACATTGAGAAGTGGGATTAATGTAAGGTGAGGCTAGAAATATAGTTTGGTTTTCTCTGGAAGATTTTCAGGGTTGGGAATCAGTAATTTCTATTTTGTCAGATAGTAAATTATTGAAGGATTTGTGTGTGTGGTTAAGATACACACGAGGTACAGTTTATATTCTAATCATTTTTAAGTGTACATTTCAGTGGCATTAAGTACATTCACATTATTAAGCAACCGTCACCACTTTTTCATCTTCCGAAAACTGAAACTCTGTACTTATGAAGCAATAACTCCTTATTCCCCTCTGCCTCCAGCCTTTGGTAACCACTATCATACTTTCTGTCTCTATGACTATTCTAAGTACCTCACATAAGTGGAATTAAATAATAGCTGCCCTTTTGTGTCTGGCTTATTTCACTTACCATAATGTCTTCATCCATGTTGTAGCAGGTATCAGAATTTCTTTCTTTTTTAAGATGGAATAACATTCTATTATACATATATACCACATTTTGTTTATCCATCTATCAGTGGACATTTAGGTTGTCTCCACCTTTTGGCTTTTATGAATAATGATACTATAAACATTGGCCTACAAATATCTGCTCAATTTCACTGGAAGTTTTATAATAGGAATGACAGAATCTAAGCTGTGCTTTGAGATAATTAATTTGACAGCAGTAAGCGATCAGTTTACAGGCTGTCTTAATAATTTGAGTAAGCAATAAGGAATCCGTGCTGGGGAGGGAAAATCATAGAAAGTAGTTGTTAGGTTTAGAAACATTTTGGAGGTTTGACAGACTTGACAACTGAGGGGTGCTTAGGAAGATTGCTCTTCCTTCCAGAAATGGAGAAGTCAGGAGTGTCAGAAACTTTAGAGGAGGAGAGTGGGAATGGGAAGGATGTGGTATGATGGATGAACTGGACTGCAATGGCCTATTTGAGTGAAGAGGTCTGTCAGACCCTTCTAGATAAAGGTCTGGAGTTCAGGAGGGAAGTCAGAACTAAACTTGGTCTCATCAAAAAGGAATAATGATTGAGGCCATGGAATGGTGTTATTAGGGAAAAGTGGCAGGGAAAATACAGACATACAGAAATGTCAGAGAAATAACCTTGGGGAAGGCCTGCCTCTAGGAAGTGGGAGAACTCTGGGAGTAGCCAGAAAGCTAGAAGAGCCTGGAAATGAGCTTAATGTCCCAGGAGGAAAGGGTCGTTGGTTGTGTGAACTACTACAAAGAATGATGAGGATGAAGACAAATATTTTAGAAACACGAACCTATAAAAAATAGAAAGTTAAAGGTCCCGTAATTCTAATCTTTCAGTTTTCACACTGTGGGCAATTTGGTGTCTGTGCTTTCAGAAGTTCTGACATGTGTATATGTATATGTATGGCACTTGATGTATACATACACACTAACCAGCCCTGTAAATCTTGAGTAGCATGCTGGGTGCCAGGGCCAGATGGAAAGGAGTAGTGAAGGGAAGAGATGACTTCTGGGAAAGCTTTAAATATTTGAAAGTGTTGTGTGAAAGAAGAAGTGGACTTTTTGTTGTTCTATGTAGCAGCGTTAAGAATAGGTGTTAATGTTAAAAGTTTTGGTGTTGGTGTAGGGAGAAACTTACTTGCTGTCAAAAACCAAAATAAGCTACTTCGCAGGAAATTCAGGTGCTTTTCACTAAAGGGCTTTACACAAGCTTTATGACCCAGTATACCATATGTTGTAGAAGGAATTGCATGGGAAGTTGGAGCAAACTGACCACAGCTAGCATCCAGTTAGTTATTCTTCTGAATATATCGATTAGTTTAATATCCCAGAGGATTTATTGGCTGGGTTTTTTTTGTGTGTGTGTGTGTTTTTTTTTTTTTTTTTTTTTTTTTTTTTGAGTGCCTAAAATGAGTAAAGGGTGAAAGATGTTTCATATTCATTATTTACTCCCTTTCTTCAGATATCTTAAAGTAACGTTTGCTTAGGGATAAGACCTGTGAAAACTGCTTGCTGGCAGAATTTCAGCACTTAGTGTTTCAAAAAATGTTTAATCTATAATGTTGCAAAAGGTAAATCTTTATTACCTAAATTTCATAATATCTACTATACCCCAATTTGTAGCACCAATAGGTCTTTCTTTACCTTACTCAGCCTTGAGATAAGATATTCTGGCCAGGCACATATTGTTTGGCTCCTCATTTCTACAGAATGTTATTAAACCTTTCTCAGGATTGATGATTTGCTAAGACTTGTACTCAATAGATTGTATAGAGTAGCTTAATCAATTACAAGGAAGTTCGGACTTGAGCTTGTGGACGCTGTGAGAAGCTTGGTTGAAAGAAACAGTTTTTAGAGTGGGAATTCTCAATAACAGTTTATCTTGTCTTCCATAAATACTAATATTCCATTAGGTCAAGCCAGATTAGCCAAGACCTCGGTGCCTAAATTACATCTTACTAGCTCGCGGTAGAATTGGCTTTCCAGAATTAAGGTTTTGGTCTGATGCCAGTAGCTCAGATTCAGGTTGCTAAATAAGATACTGCCTTATTAAATACTTTTTCTATTATAAGGATGTTAAGGATTCTGTTAGCATCCTCAACAAAAGAAATTCCTATTTGACCTTAGTACCCAAACTTCTCTCCTAATTACCCTTCTATTCTGATATCATGGGCACTATGAATTGTTTTGTAGGAAGGGTTTCCCTTTTGAATTTGCTGTAAGGAAAGAGCTAAATTTATACTCTCTCATAGGGGCGCCTGGGTGGCGCAGTCGGTTAAGCGTCCGACTTCAGCCAGGTCACGATCTCGCGGGCCATGAGTTCGAGCCCCGCGTCAGGCTCTGGGCTGATGGCTCAGAGCCTGGAGCCTGTTTCCGATTCTGTGTCTCCCTCTCTTTCTGCCCCTCCCCCGTTCATGCTCTGTCTCTCTCTGTCCCAAAAATAAATAAACGTTGAAAAAAATATATATATATACTCTCTCATACATAAATACATATTTTTGTTAATATTTTTATTTAAGAAGTAGATATAGATTGCATATAACATAAGCGTAAAAAATGAGAAAGTTAACATATCCCGTATTTCTGCTTTTCGGGAAAACTAGTGGTTTGGTGTATATATACAATTGTTTATACCCTACGTATGATTATTTTATGCTTTTAATCCCAAGTTAAGTTATATTGTGCATCCTGTTTTGCAGCTTAGTTTTTACTTAATATCTTGAATATATCTACCACATACCCAAGTCTAAGTTACCATTGTTACCTTGCTGTGATTGGGCTAAGACACCAATGTCCTACTCCTCATGGCTTTTTCACCATCTGCGTAACTGTCAGTTCAGTGAAAAGGCAAATGATGTCTTTACAATATCATGAAAATAGTTTTGACCTTGTGGACCCCTGAAAAATTCTCAAGCTCCTTCAGAGGTCTGCATTTCATGGCTTGAAAACCAGTGAGTTGATGGTTTGTGGAATCTTATGTCATGCAAAGAAGTGCTTTACCCATGCCAAGGTTAAAAAAAATGACTTCTGTTTAGTATCTTTATATTTTGTATTTAATTTTTTACATTTAAAATTATGTGGAATTTTATTTTTGTTTCTTTAAGGCTTTTTAAAACTTTTTTTAAAATGGTTTTAGAGAGAGAGAGCGCACACGCACGCTCGTGAGCGTGAACAAGCGGGGGAGGGGCAGAGAGAGAGGGAGAGAGAGAATCCCAAGTGCTGTCAGCACAGAACCTGATGCAGGGTCGAACTCATGAACCGTGAGATCATGACCTGAACGGAAACCATGAATCAGAAACTTAACCAACTGAGCCACCCAGGCACCCCTGGAATTTTATGTTTATGTCACGTATCAGATTGGTTCAAACTTTTTAATGAGTAACATGATATCAAAATACCATTTTGTTATAATTCATTTCCTAATTTGAAATGCCATCTTTTTTACAGTATGCTTTTTTTTTTCTTGCCAAACTTATGACCTTTGTTCGTGTTCTCCTTTTGCTCTACTCACACTGTCTTATTTTAATTTTATGTACTGTATGTATTTGTCACAAATCTTTACTATAACATTTTGGGATATTAACGTATCAGTAAATACAATACTGGAAGTATATGGGATGTGTATTTTTTAAAATAGAGATGTTTATCATTTGATGTATATGTTAGCATGTTTACAGTTTATAACAGTTGTCCATTATCATCTTAATAATAAATGTTTCTAGGTTGGTGATGACAAAACTGTGAAGCAGTGGAAAATGGATGGACCAGGCTATGGAGAAGAGGAGGAACCGTTGCATACAATATTAGGAAAGGTACAAAAAAAAAAAATTGACTTATATTTGCTTATTAAAATTCTTCTCTTTTACTGAAATTATTTCAGAATTTTAATTAAAAAAAAAGCTGTAAATGAGACTTGAGCCTGCAATAATTGACCTTTTTTAAGCAATATTTAATGCAGTTTAAGGTCCTTTGCAGCTGAAGAATTTGAATGGTTCTTTGGTATACATTGTATTGGGTTCAGTTTCTGTGTTTAGCTAAAGGATGCAGTGAAACATTTTCTGTGGCAAGTCCATGGGAGAAAATCTATACGAAAAACAATGCTTCAGATTCTCTCTGATTTATATTATAGATCTTACACAAAACTCAGAATGTCTTACTGGAAAGAACCCCTTAGGCAGTGAAGAGGTATTATAATATGATGCTTTTCGTATAAATCTCATTGATATTTCTTACAACATTATTCTGCAAATCAGGCGATATGGTTTAGTTATAGCTTAAGTGTAATTCAGATCATATGGCCTACCTGTGTTTTATAATGTTTACATTTTGATACTAAGCAAACTTCTAAAGTTCGATTTAATCTTGAAATATATGCATTTTAAAAATCAGTTTGCCATTTCAGTATCATGTTGGTATATATTTAAGTTCTGCTTTTCTGATTAAGTGTTTTTAAAGGCACATAGAGGTGGGATAATTGGCAAATAATTGGCAAATCAGTAATTCCTAAAACAAAATTGGTTTCCCTCTTGTAAAATGTCTTTTCTCCAGGAGTTCCAAATATTTTTGAAATATTTCATCTTAACCTCTATATTTGTGGTAGTGGGGATTAAATCTTACTATGGAAAAGTTTGTCAGACTTGCCTTCATAAATAACAATTGGAAGCCTGCAGATGCTGCTAAGAGTTCTTAAAAGCCTAAAGTATTGGCTAAATATTTCCCTCTTATTTGCTTTGCAAACATTTTTTTACCACATAGTACAAAGACATTTTAATCTGGCCCTGAATAGATCTTTTAAGTGGATATCAAAATTTATGACATTTTATTGATTTTAACAATATTAGCATCCACCCTTGCCAGCTTTATTCCTCCCCCTAAATTTTAATCCAGTTGTTGGTTTCTGTTTTTCTGCCTGGGAATCAGTACTTCATGTGTTAAATGTGGAACTAAGTGTTTTAGACCTTACCTTTGCATTTCATTAATTGGTTCCAAAGTCCTTCAAATACCCAATGATGATTTAAGGATTACTTCAGTGATAAGTATTTAAATTTAAATACATCCCCTGTTAATGTTTTTTCCAGAAGGTGTAATAAGAATCCTCACCTTTTATGGTACTGTTTTCTCCTTTAAGGAAAGGCTTCAAAGAAGTTTCTTTGTAAATAGGGACTTTTTCTTAAAAAAAAAAATGAGAGTATTATTTAAAATATTATGTAGATTTGAAATGTTAATGATAGATCCATTTATAACAACATCTTTGCTTTTAAAGACAGTATATACAGGAATTGATCATCACTGGAAGGAAGCTGTTTTTGCCACATGTGGACAGCAAGTAGACATTTGGGATGAACAAAGAACAAGTCCTATATGTTCAATGACCTGGGGATTCGACAGTATAAGTAGTGTTAAATTTAACCCAATTGAGGTAATGCTTCTTTTTGAAATATGTTCTGCTTACTCTTTCCTTATTTAATAATTTCAGCTCTGTTTAGGAAACTTTTGAGTGTGTGTTATAAGAATTTTTTTTTTTTTTTTTTAATCTTAATGGGCTTCTGGCATTTGGTTAGCTCTCCAGATTGTACCAGAGTTCTGATACCTTTGGTCAGATCTTGACGTGTTTGCCCACTTTATACACTGTTACACCAGTGTTATACTCCGTTACAGGAGGGTGTGTGCATGTGCTCGTAACCAAGTTCTGGTGAAACTTCAGTTTTACTCATGCCTTCAGAACTCATGTTCCACAGATTACATCATTGTACCTTTGGGAAAATGTTCATTTATTAATTCTCTTCAAGGTCAGAAGAGGCATTTAGCATTGTTTTCTCTTGTAAGTGATGAGGGCACTAATGATTTATAGTAATGATTACTATCCTGCATGATGATAGTTCATTTTTCTTTGCTCAGAAGTCTAATATGATGATTCCTAAGTCCTTCCAGGTCTAAGGAAAGAGTTGGAGGTTAACCACTACTTATTGGTTATTCAGGTCTGAATTTAGGAAAGGAGGCTGCCCTAAAGCCTAGATTAATCTAGTCTTTGGACTTCAGACCTTTCCATGAGCTATTTCTGAATACGTAACAATAGGTAAACTCAATGTCCAGAAGACTCAGTAAAGATGCCTTTTCCCCCACAGAAAAAAAAGGAAATTGCTTCATGTATAGCTAATCTTAGAAGTTAGTAGGAAATTATCACGTTAGATGGTATGTTAGATGGTATTAAAGAATAAATAACCTGATATGTAAGTTTTATACTCTCAGACACCCGAGCTGGTAAAGTGGAAGAAAGGTTAAGTCAAAGTAGCAGGGTATAAAATTGTTTGTATGAAGTATTGGAACGTGAGATGCTGTAGTTTGATGAGAGTTTGGCCTTGTGGTGCTGCTGATATACCTTTCTGCACACTTCTGAGAGAGTCTACAGGTCTAGAGCAGGGGTTGGCAAACTATGGTTCGTGAGCCCACTGTCTGTTTTTATAAATCAAGTTTTATTAGAACACAGCCATACCCTTTTGTTTACATATTGCTTGTAGCTGCCTTTCTGCTATGACAGCAGAATGACCCGTGAGGTCTAAAGTATTTGCTGTCTGGTCCTTTACAGAAAACGTTTGCTGATCGTTAGTCCAGAATATTTATCAGTACTGTATCTTTTTCACTCCATCGTCTTTTGGTTGTAGAAGTGAGATATGGCCTGAAGCGCAAGTCAGCTTTGCAGAGCCAGGCCAAGGTGACAATAGACAGAAGCAGGTGGCGACAAACACAAGCCATTTGTAGGAACATTTTGTGTCCTACTTGGTGTGGAGCTAAACTGGAAATGTATTTGGTGCTGGTGTACCTTGGCATTGACCTTATACAAGTCACACTCCTTCTCTATATTTGTTTCTTTATTTTTAAAATGAGATTAATTAGATCTTTCAGTATACATTATAGGTTTGTCATGAGGGTAAAACGTGATAAAAATGTGAATATTTTTTAAAGATGCTACCCAAATTTAAGATGATGTTACTACTATTAAAAAAATAAACAGAACAGAGATATTGATTTCTACTTCTGCGAGGGATAAACAGTATCTTGCTTGTCTATTTTGGTGAACACCTGTGTCAGAAGAGCTGATGATTAATTCCAAAATCATAATTAGTTATTAGTGATGACATAGTGACCATGTTTTTCAAACTTGCCTGTATAACAACTATATTTGTTCAGCCATGTGGTTTTATTTATTTTTTCTTTAAATTACCCTTATGAACTGACTTAGTGGTAGAAACAAATGGTATGCTTGTCTCTCATCCTATACTAAACTTAATGGGAAGGGGATGTGGCTGTAAACAAATGGAGTATATTTGTCTCCTCTAATCATTAATAATTAATTTCCTGTTAAAATATTGAAGCCTAGCATTTTGATAAAGCCAAAAATTTTATGCTGAGTATTACATTTTATAGTGTAAAAGTCGACTTTCAGTCTAGGTAGAATTTTTTGCTTTGCTCAGATTAAGGTCTCCTAAACTTTTAGAAGTGGAACCTAGTCAGACCTTGGTTTCTTGAGAAACCAAGAAAAGTTGAAAGTCACTAACTAGGGGAAAGTCTCTGAGGAAGTGATTTAAAAAGGAAGGTTTTGGAAAGGACTGAGTTCATGGTTGTAGCATTAGCTTTATGATGTTTTATTTGAGCTGTGTACACACACAGAGTAGGAGTTAGCTGGTCATGTAACTGTGCAGTAAATAACTCTTCTTGTTCCTCCTACACTTATAGTAGGAAGTGATAGGCAGAAGCCAAGAGTTATGTCAGGAACCATGAGTAAGGAGGCCTGATGGGACTCAGGCCCTGCTGGTAGGTGGGGGGCTTGATTTCATATAATGCCAAGGGTCAGTTATATCAGTACCTTCAATACTACTATGACTGACTTATAAATAAATGTTTGAAACATCTTGAAACAATTGGACAAAGAATAGGCCTAGTTTATACAAAGTTAATGAACATGAAGAAATGTTTACTGAAAAGCACTAGTTTGTATAATTAGGAAATATTGCCATACAGAAATGAACTTCTAAATGCCACTACTTAATGCTTCCAGTTGCAGTGAAATGGACATATTTCCACACTGCAGTGTATATTGATACAGCTCTTTGGAAAACAATTAGTCCTAAACATCAAAAGCCATAAAATTATTCATGCTTTTGTTTAAAAAAATTTTTAGGTGTATTTATTTATTTATATTTTATTTTATTTTTGAGAGAGAGAGAAAATGAGCAGGGGAGGGGCAGAGAGAGAGGGGTGGGTAGAGAATCCAAAGCAGGCTCTGCACTGACAGCAGAGAGCCCAGTGTGGGGATCAAACTCCAAACCGGAAGATCATGACCTGAGTTAAAGTAGGACATTGAACCCACTGAGCCATCCAGGTGCCCTATATTTATTTATTTTTTGAGAGAGAGAGAACAGGTAAGCATGTGGGGGAGGGGCAGTGAGAGAGGAAGAGAGAGAGAAACCCAGGAATTCTCCACACTGTCAGTACAGAGCCTGATGCAAGGCTCAGACTCAGAAACCTTGATATCATGACCTGACCCAGGATCAAGAGTCGGATGCTTAACCAACTGAGCCACCCAGGCATCCCTGTTCATACTTTTTTTTTTTTAATTTTTTTTCAAAGGTTTATTTATTTTTGAGAGAGAGAGTGTGAGTGGGGGAGGAGCAGAGAAAGACGGAGACAGAATCAGAAGCAGGCTCCAAGCTCTGAGCTGTCAGCACAGAGCCCAGCATAGGGCTCAAACTCACAAACTGTGAGATCATGACCTGAGCCAGTCGGACACTCAACCGACTGAGCCACCCAGGCACCCCAATACTTTTTGGTTCAGTAATCCACTACTGAAATTTTAACCTTATAAAAAGAGGAATTGGCGTTTATGAAAATGTTATCTGAAGTGTTATTGATAATACTGAAAAATAGGAAATAGGTCTAAGTTGAAGAATGGATAAATAAAATCTGTTCAGTTGTAAAAAGAACACAGATTTATCTGTACACTGCAACACTACCTTGTAAAATATACACACGGGCATTTAGCAGTGAAAATACTTGACTTGGGGTGCCTGGGTGGCTCAAGTCAGTTAAGCAACCAACTTCGGCTGAGGTCATGATCACATGATTCATGAGTTTGAGTCCCGCTTTGGGCTCTGTACCGATAGCTCAGAGCCTGGAGCCTGCTTTGGATTCCATGTCTCCCTCTCTGTCTTCCCCTCTCCCCCAACTCACACTCTCTCTTTCTCAAAAATAAAATAAGTAAAAAGAAGATACTTAACTAAGGTTGTTGAGATTGAGTGATTCATTGTACTCTCTTAAAATGGACTTTAATGTTATAAATTTGTATCTTAAACATTAAGGGTAATTGAATCATTTGTTCATTGAATGGACATGGTTTGCTGCCAAGCTTGGCTTTTTTTGTACTTATTTTTCAGACATTTCTCTTGGGAAGTTGTGCTTCTGACAGGAATATAGTACTATATGACATGAGGCAAGCTACTCCCCTGAAAAAGGTGAGTTTCAGTTTCTTTTCTGCTTTTACAATTGTTAATGTGTTCTTCTATGGAGTGAGTAACAAAAAATATGGAACGAATGTTTTTTTCTTAATTAAATTTTTTTCATATGTTTTTAGAAGCCAAAGTGATCATAATGGCATTCTCTCAGGCACCTGTTCCTTTTTAGAGACCCTTACATTTTCACTAGGTATTGTATCCTAGTTATCTTTGTATTTTCTTTAATGCCAGGAAGTTTTAGGTATCTAATTCAGACTTAACGGAGTTCAAAGTTCTTTTTAAAAAAATTTTTTTTGGGGCGCCTGGGTGGCGCAGTCGGTTAAGCGTCCGACTTCAGCCAGGTCACGATCTCGCGGTCCGTGAGTTCGAGCCCCGCATCGGGCTCTGGGCTGATGGCTCAGAGCCTGATTCTGGGCTCGAACTCACAAACTGCGAGATCATGACCTGAGTTGGATGCTTAACTGATTCAGCCACTCAGGTGCCCCACTGAGTTCAAACTTTTTAAGTGTTGCATCCCATTACTTCACACACCATGATTATCATATGATACATATAGTATTCTGTTCCAGAACATTTTGCAATTGACACACATAACCAGCTTTATTTGTTTAATTACATGCTGTTTTATTTAGATAAATAATATCTTGTCCAAGGTGGCAGATTTCCCAGCAGTCATTCTAGGACTTAGATATCAAAGCTAATACAACCTTAAGCTGACTATCGACAGAGAAATGTATTGTCAGTAAAGAGAAGAGTGCCATTGTAAGTAAGTATAAAGTTGATTTCAGGTGCTCCAAATCTGAGGGTGCAGAAGGGCCTAGACACCATTCATGTGCCATGAGGCCATTGTGATAATCCACATGGAAAAGAAATGCTTTTAATATTTTTGTTGTTCCTAAACCGTTTTCACAACATGTAATAAATTCCAAAATATTAGAAGTAGAGTACATTCCTTAAAGTTTCAACTGCATAAATATGATCATCTTTCCAAATTACCGCTTTAATCATTTCACTCCTTCATGATGATCTAGTGGGCACATCTCACATGAACTTTGAGACCTTTAGACCTTGAGCAGGTAACTTAATCTTTGTTTCTCCTGTAAAATGATGATATTAATAATTACTTTCCAGCACATGGGTGAAAATAAGACATGGTATTTTAAACATTTAGCAGAATGCTAAGATGAAATCTAGTGTGATAAGTAGTAGTTTCTGCCTCCTCTGCCCTTCATTCTCTGTTTTTTAATGGCGTTCCATAACTTTAGGTTGAAGAAAAGAACTATAGCCTGGTTTTCAAGGCCTTCCAAATCTGGTCCCTATTTGCATTCTATTTATTTGTTTGTTTCAGTCAGTAAGAGAACATTTAAATAGGGGTTGTCATAGGCAGGTCACCTTGATGGATGCAGAGATGCTATTTTTTATTCTTTGTTCTGTATACTAGACTATCATTATTTCTTCTATTTTTTCCTCTCCTAAGTGTACTAGATCTCAACCAGGGGTGTCTTTTTAAAAATGTGGGAGAGGCATTATAGAGACTGGCATTTAGTGGACAGGTGCCTGAGAGGCTAAACATCTACAGTGGACAGTTACACACAACACACGATCATCTTGCTCAGAATGCTAGCAGTGTTCTTGTTAAGCAACACTAATATACTGTTCCTTCACAGGTCAGCTCAAATCGTGCTTCTCTTTTGAAACCTTTCTTCTCCTCTTAAACCCTAAAGTCATTAATTTTGCCCCCAATTTGATACTTGATCATTTACTGTTTCTTTGTTAATATTTTAGTATTTCTTATGCATATCTCCCTTTCCTGACTAAACTCAATAATAAGTTATTTGAGGTTGAGGGACCATTAAGTAGTTTTATATTTTTCAGTATCTACTACTCTGTGTACTCAGGAAACAATTATTGATTGATTTCCTTTCCTATTGCATGGAGCTGAGTACTGTGCACATGATGGGTGTTTGCTAAATATGTGCTTAAATCAGTGAAAAAGAAGGAAAAGAAATGAAGTGGGAGATTTATCCATTTGAGAGGGAATTGATTTCATGGTAATGGGTTGCTGTATTCTTCCCTTCCAGGTCATCTTAGATATGAGAACAAACACAATTTGTTGGAACCCTATGGAAGCTTTCATTTTTACTGCAGCAAATGAAGATTACAAGTAAGTTTTCTTCTTTTTATAACTTGCTTATTTCTATCAGAAATGGCTCAATTGGATAAATCATACTAATGAAATATGTTTTCATAGGTAGTAGTTCTTGATATACAAGGTAGAAAATGGTCATTTGTTTCGCTCAAAAGTATATATATTTCCCAAATTGGAGAAGAACTTGTTAGAAAAAAAAATTGAGTTTTCAAAATGATACAGACCAGGAACAGAAAACTGATCTGAAGACCAAATCCTGTCTGCTGCCTGTTTTCGTAAATACTTTTATTGGAATATAACTGTGTTCATTTATGTATTGAATATGGGTCCTTTTGTGCCATAGTGCCTTAGTTGAGTGGTTGCAGAAGCAGCCATGTGGCTCACAAAGTTGAAAATATGTATAATCTGGCCCTTTCTAGAAAAAATTGGCTGCTTTCTGCTTTACACCATGCAAATAATGACTGAACCATACATGTTTTAATAGAAACTAAAAATATTTGCCTACAGGGGTGCCTGGGTGACTCCATTGGTTAATAAGCATTTGACTCTTGGTTTCAGCTCAGGTCATGGTTTGTGGGATCCAGCCCCACATCAAGCTCTGAGATGACAGTATAGAGCCTGCTTCGGATTCTCTCTTTGTCTGTCTATCTGTGTGTCTGTCTGTCTGTCTCTCTCTCTCTCTCTCTCTCTCTGTCCCTCCCCTGCTCTTCCTCCCTCTTTCTGTTTCTCTCTTTCTCTCAAAATAAACATTAAAAAAAATATTTACCTACAAAATCTGTAGCTCTTCACAAAGCTGATGCTCATGTAGTCATGTTATCAGCATCACTATTACTTCAGCAAGACAAAAGGAAAAATACAGTTTCAACTTTTACCCTAACATTTACAGATATGTTATTCTATGACTCCACGTAAAGGTGACTTAGCCTTACATTTTTGACCTAGATGGAATTTTATGATCCCTATGTATCGCCTTAAAACTTGTCAAGGCATTTCACTTTGGCTGTCTTATGTTATCTTTTCAGTATCCCTGTAAGGGAGGTAGGACATGTATGTTATCCCCTTTTTAGAGATGAGGATGTTAAAGCTTGGAATTTAATCTTAGGGAGGAAAAAGTGTCTTTTCTTTTCTTTCTTTCTTTCTTTTTTTAAATCCAAAGCGTGTGTTGTAGTGTAATGCTTGTGGTAGATTCTTAACACATGTTTTTTTGAGAAGTTGGAAGTTTCTCATTGGATTGAACTTTAGATCTTCTGTATTTAAGTTCTTTGTTCTTTCCACTATTATTATTTGTGAAAACATAAATTAGCTCAGAAATAGGATTTATTACACGATGTTTTAGTGGTACAACTAAAAACATCTATTATGGTTTTCTGTACTCAAACTCAGTTGAATTCTCATTAGCAAGGAATATCAAACCAAATTAATTGAAGCTCTTTTAGCCTTTATCAATGTTTTGAAATTAAATGGCCTTATTCCAGTTAAAAGAAATAATATAATATTTTGCTGACCAGCCTTATTAAGGTTTCTGAAGTTTGTTCTAATTAGCTATTTTGGCAAGATACCTTTTTTACAGACCCCTGGACTTTCTCCATTCTTGCCTTGGAAAGAATTTCATATGGCACCTGAAACAAAGAGCACATCGCTTATAAGGGGTGACTGACTACTATAATTGCTCTTACTTGAGAGTGATCTTACTATAGTATATATTTTTTATATTTTTTTCTTTTATTGCCTGCTAAATAGTCTAATAATTCTGAATTCGAAACACAAGTTGAAGTCTAGACCCAACCAGTAACTGCTGTAGAAATTTGGAGTAGGCATGTAAACTAACTTGTGCCATAGTCTCATCATCTATAAGATAATAGAGTTGAAATAGATGATCCCTAAAGAATCCTATAACACCAAACTTTGTGTATGTAAACATTGTCTATCCAAATGGATTCATTTGCTTAGATTTTGAATAAGTTCTTAACATTTTTCTTGGGTAGAGATTAAAACAGAATTTACTAAAAAAACAGAATATGCTGAAACAAAGCAAAGCTGGTTGACAACCACTGCTCTAGAGAAGGAAAATAAACAAAGCAGTTGTCAACTCAGAAATGTAACCTCAGAGATCAGTATGACATTGGCTGACAATCCTGTGGTATGTTGGGGTATTTAAAGTTTATTTATTTTGAGAGAGAGGGGGAGAGAGAGAGAGAGAGAGACAGAGAATATCCCAAGTACGCTTCGAGGCTGACAGCGTGGAGCCCAATGCAGAGCTAGACCTGTGAGATCATGACCTGAGCTGAACTCAAGAGTAGGACATTAAACTGACTGAGCCACCTGGCACTATGGTTGAGAGATTTAAAAAAGAACAATGACTTGTCTCTTGAGAATTTTATGTTATTGGGGATATTTTGTCAGTAGCATGAGTGACTTCTCGCAACAATTGTGTTAAAAAAATAGTTTTTGAAGTGTTACATCAATTTTTTAAATATTTTGATATAATACTGGGCTTATTTAAAAGTTGCAAAAATGGTATGTGGTAGCCAGCTTCTCTTAATGTTAACATCTTATGTAACCATAATGGAATTAGGAAAACCAAGAAATTAATATTGGTACAGTACTATAAACTACAGACTTTATTCCATCACTAGTCATTCCGTTAATATTCTTTGTCCATTCTAGGATCCAGTGCAGGATCCCACACTGCATTTGATTGTCATGTCTCCTTTGCTCAGTTTGTGACTGTTCTCAATCCCCCCAATCTTTTATGACTTTAGTACTTTTGAAAAGGATTTACTTGTCAGTTATCTTGTAGACTGTCCTTAATTTGGGCTTACTGATGTTTTCTCATTATTTAGATTGAGATTTTGCATGTTTTGCAAGAATACCACAAAACTGATGTGTCCTTCTTGGTTCATCACTTTGGGGTACATGATGTCACTCTAATTACCGGTGGTGTTGATCTTGATCACTTAGGGTGGTATCTGCCAAGTTTCTGCATTGTAAAGTTACTATGTTTTTCCTTTTGTAATTCACATTTATCTTTGGGGAGATACTTTGAAATTATGTAGATATCCTGTTTCTCCTCATACTTTTGCTCAGTAATCTTAGCATCTTGAAGTGTTTTGATATTTGGAACTTGACTACAGTAATGCTCTGTTATTATTGTCCGTTGTGCATGTTGGCTCATTTGAAGCATTATTCTTTTAGCTATTGATTAAGGGTGTTTAAATCTTGAAAATCATGATTTTTTTTTTTTTTTAACCAACCGTGCATATAGTTTTCTAATTTTAGTATGCCCTTTGGAAAAGCCATGGTCACTCTTACATATCACTAATAAAAGTGGAACTTTATTGGAAATGTTTTGTCAACTTAAAAATCTTAAAAGTGCTCTTGCTTTTGGATTTAGTAATTTACTTATAGGAATTTGTCCAGATTTAACTAAGTTTGTTCCACTCAAAGATTGAATTTCAAAAATTCAAATACTGGTATTTCATTGAAATATTATTTAAAATTGAAAGTTGGAAATTTTTTATTAACAAATTATAAGCAAATGTATTTAAATAAATTTTTAAATAATTCTATTCTAACTTATTTAAATAATATGTGACCATAAGTGCTTATAATATGCTACATGAGATATGAGACTACAGAGCTTTATACAATATTATCAATTTTGTTAAAAGTATGTGTTTAAATATTAGCATGGTGAAAAGCTTAGACGTAATTACATGGCACTAACTGATATTCTCTGGGCGGTGGAATTAAAGGTAGGTTTTGTACTCTACTTTTTTGAAAGTTTCACATTTTCTACAATGAGATTTATGTTTATGAAGATAAAGGTGTTTAAGTGTAATCTTAAGGAATAAGAAAAACTGGTAGTATTTTTCCCAATCCCTTAGCTTCCATGTAAAGAGGCTGTATATTTAGATGTGTGTGATTTGGCTAATGGTCTTAGTTTCATTAGTACCACATGTGCTTCTTTATAGACACTTGTATGAAATAATTTAAAAATTCTTTTACAGCTTATATACTTTCGATATGCGTGCACTGGACACTCCTGTAATGGTACATATGGATCATGTATCTGCGGTGCTTGATGTGGATTATTCTCCGACTGGGAAAGAGTTTGTGTCTGCTAGTTTTGATAAATCTATTCGAATCTTTCCTGTGGACAAAAGTAGAAGCAGGTATGTGACCACCAATAAACCATTTGTTTGATTTTTTCTTGTCTTCATCATCAGTCCTTTATCTTTTTTGAAAGGTTATTTGGTTATGTGTATAGGGTAGAATTCAACCCAGGTATTGTGACTTGGGATACCAGCTTGCACTGTGTCATCTATGGGCAAAAAGCCTACTGGGCAATTTCTTTCATGGAATAGAAAACCTAATTTCCTGTGTAAGATAATAGCCTCGTGTATAGTGTGCTGTGGTTTACAAAGCACTTTCATGCATATTCTTGTTCTTTGGTAATGCTTTATATGTGTTGGGGAAGCATATGCAAAGCAAAACCCAATTAAGCTGGAGGAAATTTCCCCATAAAAAATGGTAATTAGGGAGCCTAGCTGGCTCCATGCAACTCATGATCTCAGGGTCATGAGTTTGAGCCTCATGTTGGGCATAGAGATTACTTAAAAATTTTTTTGTTTTAAATGATAATTAAGATGCACCTAGGTAGCTCAGCCAGTGTCCTGCTCTTGATCTTGGCTTAGGTCATGTTCCCATGGTTCATGGGATCGAGTCCCGCATCAGGCTGCACAATGACTGCACGGAGCCTGCTTGGGATTCTATCCCCCTCCCTCCTTCCCTCCCTCCCTCCCTCTGTCTCTCTTTCTCTCTCACCCCCCTCCCCCACTCACACACACATGCATGCTCTCTAAAATAAAGTTGTAAAAAAATGATAAAGTAGTATAGTGGTGTTGCTCACATGTGAAGATATGACTGCATTTTGATACAATAATAATATTGATACTGAGATTTAAAATTAATCCAAGTGAACATTCTCTCTAAAATAGCATATAAATATATATATATATATACAGCACATGCATACATAGACATCTATACGTATACTTGATTGAGTGTCCTACTCTTGCTTAGTGGAATTCAAGCTCAGTAGGGAGAAGATGGACTTGCTGAAAGATAACAGAGTGATTGGAGGTAGGAAAGGAAAGGAGAGGAGTGATGGAATCTGGGAGAGGAAAGAAGACAGAACGTGTGTAATGAGGGTGGGAGCTGATGATTTGTGCCAGAGGACAGCAACGTGGAGCTGGTAGAGCAGTTTACCCAGCTTCATAAAGATTGATGGTAGCAGAGTTGTTCGGGGATCCTTCACTTAAAAAAAAATCTAGAGATTATTCACTTTGGTGTTGTAATGACACAGTCTGGAGAAGTCTCACCATTTTAGTGCAGTGATGAGAATTTTGATCACTACTTCCGCCGATAACTAGCCTAGCTTCTACAGTGCTGAAGCTTTTGGAGTCTTTTGAAAGAATGACATTCATTTTCAGAGGCATGTTGTGTCCTTCTCCTGATTCACCATTGTTCTGTTCCAGTAGGGTCAGCACTAGGACGCATCTGAGTGAGGTGCCTCGGTGCAGAATTCAAGGAGGTACTCGTTGTTAGGGGTGTGCAGGTGCCAGCCCTGCATCTGTACTGCAGCTGCTTCACTTTAGTCTCAGCCTTGTTTCAGAAACAAAAGATCTTTCAGATAACGCCTCCTGACAGTCAACTCATCCACACCTTTTTTGGTGATAGCCAGCCTGCTTTGTTTAACTCTTTGGTGTTTTTACTTGCGATAGTTGCATCTTTCTACCCTGTAATTTGTGGGGTCCATACTGATTCCTGACCCTTTTGGTATCGTTGATTACCAGCATATCATTGTCATCATCATTGTGTATCTGATTAAAAAGGTGCTTGGGGATACCTGGGTGGCTCAGTCGGTTGAGTGTCAGATTCTTGATTTTGGCTTAGGTCATGATCCCCCAGGATCGTGGAGCCCGGCGCCGGGCTCAGTGCTGAGGTGTGGAGCCTGCTTAGGATTCTCTCTCCCCACCTCTGCCCCTCTCCCCTGTTTGCCTGCTCTCTCTCTCTCTCTCTCTTTAAAATAAAAAAAAAAAAATTAAAGATGCCTGAATCAAAAGCATATCGACTAGAGTGTTGTGATGATTTTGATCTTCACTCCATCCTCTCCACTGTAGAACTCCTGGTGTTGGTTTCCGTATGGCTGTTGCCTCGTTTACAACTTGATATTCTGCAGACTGTCATGAATGGTTTGTTGGGATTATTCAGTCAGGCCCAAGGCAGGGCCGATAGTTTCTATTCTTACATCCCTAGAAGATACTAAGAAGCAAGGGAATGTGGCCTTCCATTATTTTCTTTGCATCAGAACCTCCAAAGATGGTAGGACAATACTTTTCTAACATGATGAATAAACAGGCACAAAGAATGGGAAAAGAACAAACAAGAAAGACAAAGAGCATTGAGGATGTTTAGACACGTATGATCTCAAGGCCCTTGCAGCTGAGTTCAAGCTGAATTATTGCAAAGCCACTGTGGGCAGCCAAATGTAGGTCTATCTAAAAAGCTCAAGTAATTCCAGACTTGTATGGAGTAAGGAATTATGCCCCATTTCCAGGGAATTGTCTGTCTACTGATGTTGTTTGGAGATTTTTGTAATCACAGTGGTAGTATATGCTACTTGTTGGATTTAGATGTAAGTGGTATTTCCTCTGACCTTTGCCTTCATCTGCTTAAAAGCTAGTTTGAGTTAATTCTGCAGTCTGCTCTATCTGGTTCATTACAAACCCTCAAATAACATAGCTAGTGCTTTGAAGAATCTTTATTTTTAAAATGTTTTTCTTTGAAAGACCTTAAAATGGTTAAAGTGTATTTTTAAAGTAAACTTTTAATAGATTATTAAAAGCTACAGGTACGTCAGTATTTGAAATCAGGCTTTTTCCCCCCCCAAAGTTTATTTTACTTATTTTGAGAGAGAGAGCAAGTAGGGGAGGGGCAGAGAGAGAGGGAGAGAGAGAATCTAAAACGGGCTCCGTGCCATTGGCACAGAGCCCAACACGGGACTTGGGGCTTGATCTCATGAACTATGAGATCATAACCTGGGCCCAAACCGAGAGTCGGATGCTTAACTGACTGAGCCACCCAGGTGCCCTAAAATTAGGCTTCTGTTGGGATTTCATTCAATATTTACTAAGCAAACAAGTAAATGACTGGCATTCACATGGATTAATTTTTTTTTTTAATTTTTTTTTTTTTTTTTTTTGAGAGAGAGAGAGGGAGACGCAGAACTTGAAGCAGGCTCCAGGCTCTGCATTTATCAGCGTGCGGTGCTTGAACTCACAAACTGTGAGATCATGACCTGAACTGAAGTTGGATGCTTAACTGACTGAGCCACCCAGGCACCCCTCACATGGCATAATTTGACTGTATACTAAAGAATATAAGTTTTTAAAATGTATTTATCTCCTAACAGTATCACGTTTAGTGAGCTTCGTAAACATGCATAAACAAATCTAGAAAAACTCTGCATAGTTTACCATTAAAGAGGATCTATTTTGGTTAAGTAATTAATCACTAGATTTGACTGGTCTAATACATGAAGAGATTATTTTTAATGGTTACTGAAGCCTGATTGAATTTTCTATCGTTTAAATTCATTATATTGCTAATGAAAAAAGGAGCCTCTTAAATAGGTGAGATTATGAGAACTGAATCTTATAAAAGCAGAGCATTGGAGGGAGAAGAAAAAGTCTATCTCCTCTAGTTTTCATTTTCATAGGATATTCTTTCTAACCGTCCTTCCCCTTTCAGAAATAGATTTCTTAGGGTTTCTGTATATGTTCACTCAAGTGCTTAAAACATTTCCGTTAGAAACAGTGTAAAAAACTAGTTTTGTGAGTGTATTTCAGATATTTTTTATAAATCTGGATTCTGTTTAGTCTGGTCATCATGTATGAGTATTCTTTTTCTGTGCAGAGTATGCTGAGTTTGTTTCCTTTCTCACTCGTCTGCGTTTTGAATCATCTAACCAGATGTGGAAAATTCATTTCTCCAAAAGCCTCTATTTTTCCTGACCTTGTCTTTTACTTGTTTTTTAATGCTCTCTCAACACTTCCCAATATAGTGTCTTCTGTGAATTCACTTAGCATGTTTCACAGCCTTTCCAGATAGGTATGATATTTTACATCTCCATTTACTAAATGATTCTTAACTCATCAGACACTTCTGTAACCCTCCCTTTCTGTTCACACATGGAAATCATCCACTCTTACTTCATTTAAGTGAGCTTTTTAAACAGTTTGACCAAAACAGAAATCAGACATTAGGCTCAGCGTATAAGGATGTGCTCTTTGAATGCCATTGCATTTATTTTATTTTCCAGTAAAATGGGGGGAAAAAGTGATTGTTTACCCGCATTGATTTGGAAGGAGGGAGATAATTGATTTCTTATTTAAAAAAAAAATTTTTTTTAATGTTTGTTTTTGAGAGAGAGAGAGAGGGGTGGGGGGGGAGGGCCAGAGAGAGAGGGAGACACAGAATCTGAAGCAGGCTCCAGGCTCCGAGCTGTCAGCACAGAGCCTGATGCGGGGCTTGAACTCACCAACCGCGAGATCATGACCTGAGGTGAAGTCGGACGCTTAACCACTGAGCCATGCAGGCGCCCCTGATTTCTTATTTTTAAAAAACTGTATGTAGCTTCAACATATTTTACTTGTGTTATCGGTCTTCAGTAATTTTGTGAACTTTTCTGGGCATCTAGTTTTGCTTAGTTAGTTTATATTTATTTTTCTTTTTGGATTGTAATTTCTCTGAGGACAAGAATTTTTTTTCTAACTCCTTAGCACTTAGCATAGAACCTTGTTATATTAGTTCAATAAAGGTACATAAAAATTAATTTGAATTTCCCTTTTATATTCTCTTCAGACTCAGAAATGCTACCCAGATACTTGATGGGCAGTGGTTAAAGAAACTCTGTATCAAAATCCTAATTTTACCTTAATTCCTCTTCTGTAGGGAAGTCTATCACACAAAGAGAATGCAACATGTTATCTGTGTAAAATGGACTTCTGACAGCAAATATATTATGTGTGGATCTGATGAAATGAACATTCGTCTGTGGAAAGCTAATGCTTCTGAAAAGTTGGGTGTGGTAAGAGAACCCATTTTCTTTCATTGTCGTAAAGCTAGTTTCTAATTTAGTGGCTATGGTTATATTGTAAGGAGAATTTATTTGAAGTACTTAGATCAAACTGGCATAGTTGTGATAAAAATGTTAGCAACAAAACAGACAAGGCTGCATTGAGATTTACTTTTTTCATGTTACAGGCACCTCAGAGACCTTTGTTAATTCAAATGTTTGGTAATATTTGAGCCTTCCTGATTCTTTGTTTTTTCCTTGAGATGAGGAGAGAAGGTGTAGAGACTAGAAGGTTAGAACTGAGAATGCCTGTTCTGTTAAAGGAATAGTAATCAGACGCATCAAATGCTTCAAGTCCCTGTTGAGGTCTTTTAATATCAAAGACAGTGAAATGCTAACTTCAAAAAAAAAATACAGAAAGCTTCAGACAATAAAAAAAAAGATTGAAAGAAGCAATAACAAATATTATCATTGGCTAGCTGTCTCTGGGTTATGGGGTTATGGTTGGCTTTTGTTTTGTTTTTGATGTTTTTCTAAATGTTTCATGTTTAATATTAGAAACATTCAGGGTGTTTATATCAGCAACAAATACTGAGTTTAAAAAGGAAAGTTTAAGCGTGAGTTATTTTCTCCTTAGCTCCAATAGGAAAATCACGATATGATAAACGGCTTTTAAAGACAATTTTATTTTAGGTTTAATGATTGGGAAGTATTATACTGTGCCTAGTTTTCAATTCATTGTAAGTTCCTTTAAATCATATCATCCTTAACATTGTTAAATGAAGCCTTATTATTATAGAATTGAATGCTTTTTTTTCCTGTGTTCAGAAGTTATTTTCACCCCCCCCCCCCCGCAAAATGTTGAGGGATTAACTTAGGAGCTTTTTCTATGTTATTTATGTCTAGAGAAGGTCCAATTCAGTGGTCCACACAGCCCTACTTCCTCAGCACTGATGTTGTCACTTGGTGGCATCTGTCTACATTGTACATACTGCCCAAAAGGAAATTCAGTGTTAGCAGAGATGATATTTCTAACCTGACCTCGTAAAGGGTAGAATTACATTGGCAATTTCGGTTGCATGTCCTAGAAGTTTAATTTTTGTAGGAAAGGGTGCTTCCTAGCTTTGTTATTTGAAGAAAAACAACATGGCGTTCATTGAATTATCAAAATACATTTTTCCAGCTTACATCACGAGAAAAAGCAGCCAAAGATTATAACCAGAAATTGAAAGAGAAATTTCAACATCATCCTCATATAAAACGCATTGCTCGTCACCGACATCTACCAAAATCCATCTACAGTCAGATTCAGGAACAGCGCATCATGAGAGAAGCTCGTCGACGAAAGTATGATTTGGGGCATTGGATTCTATTTCAGTACCCTTTTCTAACTTCCCCCTCTTGTCTCACCAAAAATAAACCAAACCCTGCCTTTCGAGGGAATAGTTGATGTTATGCATTAGAGATGTTTTTGAACACTTCCCTGAGCTTTTATTATTTTTTTTTCTTTTTCCTGGTAGAAGGAAGAAGCAATGATTATCAGAGAATTTTCATTACCTAGTTTTGAAATTATGTTGAAAGGGCAACCAGTAAAACTGAATTCCATCAAAATAAGAAAGCATTTCTGCTCATACTAGAGACACTTGTAAATCATGTTTTAAAAAATGATTTCTAATGAAGCTGTAATTAAGAGGTATTATATATTTTCCAAGTTAAAGAATGCAGAGAACTCATAGCACCCATTTCTTAAATAAAAATTTTCTGATATGCTTCATCATAGAATTGTGGATCTAAAGCAGAGCTCCCACCGCCAGTTTCCTCGTAGAATTATATAAAGGACACTGTTATATAATAAGAGAAGCAATTAAATAAGTTAACAGAAGTTGATATCTAGGTACTTTTTACCCAGTCTGATTGTGAAAACATTTTTTTTCAACAGGGATTTTTTTAGTGAAAGAAAAGACTGATTTTTCTGAGACAGTTTTTTTTGGTTAAGGTGATTTCTCATAAGCTTGCTTATATATGTATATTTTGTTTATTTCTAGGGAAGTGAATCGTCTCAAACATAGCAAGCCTGGATCTGTATCGATTGTGTCGGAGAAGAAGAAACACATAGTGGCAGTTGTGAAATAACACGTGGTATTCCTACCGATCCTGATACATGATGATTTGTTATACTTTGATTTGCAAATGTAAATAAAACTACTGGCTCTAGAATAATAACGAACAGTTCAGTTACATGTGTAGAGGAAGTAAAAACTGTCCTGAAAGGTGGCCTGGTTGATAAGACTGTCCGACATTTTATTCTTGATCTTCTTTCTTATGTCATTGAAGAATACAGTATTTGCAAACTAACTTAATTCCTTTTACAAAATGCAGATATACTTTCACTTTGACCTATTATTATAGATATACTGTATGTTTGAATTTACATTCAAGACCAGACATCTCTTTGGTTACCTTTAATATTACTTTGGATAATTAGTGCAATGATTCTTCCTATGATTACACATAACATGGGGAAGAATTATGTCAGAACTTTTTTCAGTTCAATTAATTTTCTGTGTTTTATTTGTAGTTGGCTTTTTGAGACCTTAAAGATGATCAGCTTGAATTTATATAACTTTTTAAATAATAATTACAGTTTATGGTCAAGATAATAAAACATCCTTTATCTCAGCATTATAACTTTGATCCACTTCTGCTAAATGATTTCTCTTCAATCTTACTAAATCATAAATAGTTCTTTGTGCCATATGTTGTTTTTTTAAAAATTGTAGTTTAATAAACTCTATTATGAATATATATCACCTCAATTTTAGGAAATTTTAAGTAGAGATTTATTTTAAATACACAAAAATAGGGACACTTGGGTGGCTCATTTGGTTGAGTGTCTGGCTCTTGATTTTGGTCCAGGTCATGATCTCACAGTCGTGAGAGCAAGCCCCATGTCTGGCTCCATGCTGAGCATGGAGCCTGCTTGGGATTCTTTCTCTGTCCCTCTGCCTCCCCCTCCCCATGCTCGCTCTTTCTCGCTCTCTAAAATAAGAAAAAAATTTTAAAAATAAAAACACAAAAATATACGTTCAGGAATGCATATATATGGGGGGGCCTGGGTGGCTTAGTCGGTTAAGTGTACGACTGTTGGTTTTGGCTCAGGTCCTGATCTCACAGTTGGTGACTTTGAACCCCGCATTGGGCTCTGTGCTGACAGCACAGAGCCTGCTGGAGATTCTTTCTCTCTCCCTTTCTCTCTGCCCTTCTCTCGCTCCTGCTCTCTCTGCCTCTCAAAATAAACTTAAAAAAAAAAAAATGCATACATTTATAGTAAAAATGTAAACGCATGGGGATGATAAAGATCAATATCCGAGCGTGGGAGGAGGACACAGTCAGGGTGAGATACACAGGGGACTTCAGCCCTTTTACTGAGGTCATCTCTTAAGTTGTGTGCTCATTCTATTTTTTATGCTTTCTTGGGTATCTTGAATATTTTACTATATTTTTCTTAAAGCTGAGAAGAGATCAACTATCTACATTTTAATCCGTATGATCTGTTGTAGGCCTTAATGACTTGATTTTCAGATGAACCAAGTTATCTTGTGCACCTACACTGCTATTAGTTCAGGTGTTAGTTTCAAAGAAATATGCAAATACTGATCCAAAAACACGAGCCGTGGTTAGTTTGAAGTAGTTCAAGAAGCAGGTGCCTAAATGGAATGAGATGTGCAAGAGATTTATGGGCAGGGACTGTCTGTAAAGGATAAAAAGGAGGGAGCAGTACACAGGGAGAGCCTTGTGTCTGGACTGTAGGCTTGACGCCTGTGACAGAGGAGGAGGAAGAAAGGAGGCCTGGGTGGGAGGAGCCTCAGGCTGCGGTGCGGTTCTAAGAAAGGTCGCGCCAGGCTGAATGGGTGGTCCTGGAACCAAAGTTGCTTGTCAGAGGAGTCCTGTATTCAAGAATGGGCCAGCACTAGTACCCTCACTGTGCTCAGTCAGTGGCAGGGAGCGGCCGTGGGGAAGCATGACCTTAACAGCAAATGCAGTGGTGGCAGCCATACTTCCTGCAGCCGGCTCTTGAAGGAGTTGTGAGCAGAGCATTTCTATTGCTGCACCTCTTGTGCCACACAGACCCAGTTCTTACAGGTTTGGGGAGGAACTCCTCTGTGATTTCCATGCACCTCTTTTAGAAGAAGGAGTCTGGTTGAATGGTGAGTAACCCCTGCCTCTGAAGAGCCATGACTAGTATTCATCTTCTCCGTCTTCTGTCATCCATTTTAAAATGTCCTCATTCACAGCTATATCACCTTAGCAAGTTTTGGTGGCTAATCTAATAGTGTGACGTAAACCTTTATTCCTGAGGAGCCTGAACCTTTGGTAATCGTATCCTTCTCAGACTGGGGTTGCTGCACATATCCATTAACAGCTACTGTGAATCAAGGGAATACCAGCAGGCATCAAAGGGGTTGCCCGCGTTCTGCATATATTTCTTCTATCTCCCCCCAGCTGCCTCTGGTCAAAGTCAATTATTTCTTCCAGCAGGCTGACCACTCTTCTAGCCTGCTGGATGGAAGTCCAAAATACTTTGATGATAGTCATAACTTAAGAGTTCAGTGGGAGTTTGCTGTGTTCCGTAGCAAGAGTGTGTACCCCTTTGATAAGCAGTTCTTCTAACCCTGCAGAGCCAGAGTTTTAGGAATGGTAAGCACTAGGTCACTAGGAATGATGGAGCTGTTCCTTTTCTCCCTTGGTCCTCAGATACATGTAAAGGTTTGTGATTTGATGGGTTTACTGCATTCAGAAGGTGGTACTCCAACTATATTGTGTCTGAGCTGGTGCTTACATTATGTCATTAGTAGGCCATTCCACTGATCTATGAGACTGCATTTAAAAAAATTTTATTTTAATGTTTATTTATTTTTGAGAGAGAGCACGGGACTGGGAGGGTCAGAGAGAGAGGGAGACAGAATCCGAAGCAGGCTCCAGGCTGAGCTGTCAGCACAGAGCCTGATGCGGGGCTTGAACTCACAAACTGAGATCATGACCTTAGCCGAAGTCAGACACTCAACTGACTGAGCCACCCAGGCGCCCCGAGATTGCATATTTCTCTACTGTGTGTGTTACTTGACCAGTGGGGTCTTTTGGTTGGGCCCAGTCTTTTACCTGCTTTGCTTTGAAGTAGATTTCCTGGATGAATACCGTGTGAGTGGGACTCATGCCTGTGAATTAAGCATTCTGTTAATGCTCAGGTAGTGGTGCTAACTGACGCTTTATGACTGATATCTGGGGATGCCGGCATAGGTGTCTCTGTGAAGATGACTTGGTGGCCCTTCTAGGATCAAAGGGATCCACTGTAGTCTTGTTGACACCCAATGGTTGTTTGTTATTCTCAAGGAATAAATAGTGCCATATCAGCACAATACTGGGCTCTGGCACAGTTTGGACTGTCGGAGACGCAATATAGCTAGATCAGCTTTGGTGAGTGGGAATTCATCTGTTGAGCTCATTCAGAGCCTCTATCTCTGCCATAAGTCATTCCACCCATATGCCCCTTGTGCCTCTTCCAGGCTGGCTAATACCAACAGTTATTTGGTGGTTCAGAGCCTCTTCCATTGTGGATTTTTTGATGGGCATTAATGGGTTATACAAAATATCTACTCTTGACTCCCTCTTGTTCATCCATATATACCTCTACTCCAGACCTCCTTATCAGATCTCCTGGCCCTCTTCCTTCCACACCCTGACCAGTCATTGACCACTGCCCAGGAATCTCACCTAAGGCCACTTCTGCATGAAATGATAACCAGGTACATTGCTTATAGATCTACGCATTGGGAAGGTCTTCCCACTGTTTTTCAAGGCCATCCCTTCATGTGCCTTTAGCGTAGCCATGGTCCATTTGTGCCTTGTGCCCACATACTGAGCCAAGCCAACCTATCAGTTAACTCGGTCATTATCCACCTCCTTCAGCTGGTTTAACCCCCATGGCTGTTGGTACAAATGGGGGGAATGACCCTGATGCGATTGTGGCGGGTGATGCGGACGGAGGTCTATGTTACCTGCTCACATGGCTTCCTTGTGCCCTGTGGTCCTGCTTGGTCCTCTCAGATGTAGCGTTCTAGTCTTTTGATGGACTGCCTCTGACTTCATATAATTTTATGTTTTGGTGGTTCTGACTAAATTCAGCTCCAAAATGGGCTGTTGTGAACAAATGGTGTATTTGGTGTTCATCGTCAAGCATCCTGTGTCTATCAGAGCTCAGTAAACATGCCAGGAGCTACTTCCCAAAATGCATAATTTTGCACTGCGGATAGCATGGCCTTGCTCTGGAATCCTAAGGTTCTTCTGATTCTCCCACTGGGGCTTACCATAAACTTCACACTACATCTTTTTACACCAGTGATGCTTCCGATCCTGTACTTCAGGGCTGCCTGTACCATAGCCTAGACCTGTAGCCTTCTGTATTACCCAGCAGATGAGCCAAAGCAGTAAGTATTCCTAGGTGTGAAATGTGTTGCCTGCAGAACTCAGATGTATCTACTAGGCACAGTGCTTCCTTTCAATGCAGCAGTTACCTTTTGGAAGAGAAACTGTGGCACGCCCCTGATCAATGGACCCCTAAAAGGTCACTAACGCGGCAGGTGCTGAACCTTGATAGGATTAATTTCTCGTCCTTCTGACCACATGTATCTTACCAACACTTCTAGCATGTCAGCCATCTCCTGCTTGTCCTGTCCGGTCAGCAGGAAGTCATCAATGCAATGTATAAATGCTCTGTGGGATGTCCAGTCAGCCTCGATCTTGTTGGACCATGAGAGAGCACAGGACAGTTAAAAACCCTAGGACAAAATTAAGTGAATATTGCTCATTCCATGTGAGTGTGAACTTTGATCATTCTTTCTAACTGGAATAGAAAACACATTTGCCAAATCGACAGCTGCATACCGTGTACCTGAGGCCTACCAACAAATCTACTCTAGCCACAGTATTATGACCAGCACAACTACTGGGATCAGCACTACAATTTTTGACTGATTGCAGTGGTGCACATTACAGTGTTCCCCACAACCCATCTGGTTTGTGCAGAGGTCAGACTGGCAAATTAAATGGAGATATGAAGAGACCATACCTGCTCCTTGCCTGTCCACCCACCCCCAGTGTAATAAATACTGCTTTCGATATACTGTCTTGGTTGGGGGGATGAGGTGGCATTTAAGGCTCTTTTTACTTGTTTTTCTTTTCACAGCTCTTATCCTATGGTCAAGGACCCAATAGGGTAGTTATTCCAACTACAGGTATATCATTTTTTTAACATTTTCTTGAGGTAGGCAGAGATAGTGCAAGTTGGGGAGGGGCAGGAAGAGAAGGAGAGAGAGAATCCCAAGCAGGCTCCATGCTGTCAGTGCAGAGCCGGACACAGGGCTCAAACTCACGAACTGCAAGACCATGACCTGAGCCAAAGTCAGATACTTAACTGACTGAGCCACACAGTTGCCCCTCCCGCCAACTATATCATTTCTAATTATACACTGGTGAACTGAGGAAATGACAACTGGATAAGTCCATGGACTCAGTAGACCTACTATAAGTTAGACTTTTCCATTTATAAGATTCCCCAGAACTTGTCATTCTAACAGGGTCATGATGACCCTCAGGTCTTTGAGAATAAAATGTTAGACCCTGGGTCCAATAGTCCTTGCAATATCGTGGTATTCCCCTTTCTCCAGTGCACAGTTACA